GTGGTTGTCGTGCCAGCGTGCTGTCGCTAGGTGTCAGTGTGAGCGCTGAGCTCAGTTGGAGCTGCTGTGGTTGTAGTGCCAGCGTGCTGTCGCTAGGTGTCAGTGTGAGCGCTGAGCTCAGTTGGAGGTGCTGTGGTTGTCGTGCCGGCATGCTGTCGCTAGGTGTCAGTGTGAGCGCTGAGCTCAGTTGGAGGTGCTGTGGTTGTAGTGCCAGCATGCTGTCGCTAGGTGTCAGTGTGAGCGCTGAGCTCAGTTGGAGCTGCTGTGGTTGTCGTGCCAGCATGCTGTCGCTAGGTGTCAGTGTGAGCGCTGAGCTCAGTTGGAGGTGCTGTGGTTGTCGTGCCAGCATGCTGTCGCTAGGTGTCAGTGTGAGCGCTGAGCTCAGTTGGAGGTGCGGTGGTTGTCATGCCAGCATGCTGTCGCTAGGTGTCAGTGTGAGCGCTGAGCTCAGTTGGAGCTGCTGTGGTTGTAGTGCCAGCATGCTGTCGCTAGGTGTCAGTGTGAGCGCTGAGCTCAGTTGGAGGTGCGGTGGTTGTCATGCCAGCATGCTGTCGCTAGGTGTCAGTGTGAGCGCTGAGCTCAGTTGGAGCTGCAGTGGTTGTCATGCCAGCATGCTGTCGCTAGGTGTCAGTGTGAGCGCTGAGCTCAGTTGGAGGTGCGGTGAGGGCCCTCTCCCCAGCTTTATGGTCAGTATTTGGTCGCCGTGTTGCCATGGAGGGCAGTGCAAACTGGCGGACCGGGACATCCATGGTAAGTGATTGTTACTGAGGGTATTGGGGAGGGGGGCAGGCAGGGCAGCACATAGCCGGCTCCCTGAGCTCAGAGCAGTCACAGGGCCTGCCAGCTCACCACCTCCCTCCCTCATACAGCCACTGCCAGACTGTGCTCTGCCTGCAGCAATGGACTACATGACTCATCATGCTCAGCCAGCCTAGCCAGCCGCTAGCTTCATGGTCATAGCTGGGGGAGCATCATGGGATATATAGTCCTCCACTGCTGGAGTGCTCTCCTATCTGGTGTAGCATCATGGGATATATAGTCCTCCACTGCTGGAGTGCTCTCCTATCTGGTGTAGCATCATGGGATATATAGTCCTCCACTGCTGGAGTGCTGTCCTAGCTGGTGGAGCATCATGGGATATATAGTCCTCCACAGCAGGAGTGCTAGCCTATCTGGTGGAGCATCATGGGATATATAGTCCTCCACTGCTGGAGTGCTATTATAGCTGGTGGTGCATCATGGGATATATAGTTCACTACAGCAGATTGCTTTTTGTAGCCATCACAGTCCCTAGCCTATGTCTTATTGTAGATTTTTTTTTGTTTATTTTTGGGTACTCGGTTTTGCTTTTCATTTGGACTGGGATGATAAATACTAACACAGGGAGATTTATTTACCAAACATTGTATTGTAGCAAAAAAAAAATAAAAAAAATCTGAATTGCAAATTCCCCCCCAAAAAAACCAAAGCACAGAATAATAGGGCTAGTCACTAAATGGAAAACATCATCAATTCAAAGTGAATTTCAAGTTTTAGGCAATAGTGGCCAAACAGAAGACTTAGCTGCTTTGGATAACTTTTCTGGTTTTGCTATTTTGGTCTAAAATTAGGAGTTTAGATTTTCTTGTATGTAAGTAATATGTCGATCGATTTACTGCTGGGAAAGTTTCTTTTCCTGTTACTGTAGTGGATGGCTATGTGGACTGGGGACTGACTGCATTAAAATGTGTTTCATTTAATAGTTATACAAGGGGTACTCAACCTATTTATACCTGCCGCCCACTTTTGTATATTTGCTGATAGTTAAATCTCCTTACCGCCCACCAGTAGTAGTAACAATTTTTTTTAATTTTTTTTTAGAAAGGAGTGTTTTTGTTTTTTAAATATGTAGGGTGCTGTGTATGTTTGTGTGTGAAAGGTGTACTGTGTGTTTGTGTGAGGGATGCTGTAAGTGTCTGAAGGGTACTGTGTAGTTTGTGAGGGATGCTGTGTGTGTGTGTGTGTGTGTGTAAGGGGGCAGTGTGTGTGAGTGGTGTAGTGTGTATGTTTGTGTGTGAAGTGTGCATGCTGGGTGTAGGTGGGTGAGATGTGAAAATCTATATTAATGTCTGCCCGTCCCTTCTTGTTACCTTTTACCAAGGAGGGGGGACAATGCTGCAAGCCCTGGTGGTCCAGTGGTGGCATGTTCATTTTAGCCTGTTGCTCCTCCGGCTGCAAGCTGACTCTCCTGTCCTCCTGCGGGCACAGCAATGTTTCAGAGCGTTGCCGCAGGATACCAAGGCAACGCTCTGAAACATTGCTGTGCCCACAGGAGGACAGGAGAGTCAGCTTGAAGCCGGAGGAGCTACAGGCTAAAATGAACATACCACCACTGCCTGTTCGTGGGAGGTTCATAGAGCCTTCCATGCACTTCCCTCCCTCTGCTGGAACTAAGTACCAAATCTTTGCTTCTGCTGGCCTTGGCCCTCTGGGTGTTTTTGACTACCCCTGAGTTATACAGTTAATTACAGTATACAGGTAGACACATTCAAAGGAATTTGGGTTGTCTAGAATGTTTAGATGTCTGAACTGTGAATTACAAGGTACAGATGTTTCTCTTTCATGCCCCACAGCAGCAAATTAAAATAGTCCCCTCCCCAACTTATATTGCACACATGCGGAAACGGTCCATTCACAGGCTTCTCTATGAGAAATCTGTGATTGGACTAAGTGTCTGGATGATGTCAGAATGGGGTGTGGAAGATCAGCGCCTGGTGCTTCGCCAAGCGCTGGATGTCAGGTGAGTATATCTGTTTCTTTCAAATGTTAAAGGGGAAGGGGGCAAATAGTAATGCCACATAGAGCATTGTAAATTAAAGAAAACAACCACAACAAAAAACAGGTTTGGGGTTTATTCAGTAAGTTGCAAAATACAGGCTAAAATATCCAAGACCTGAAGATAAGTGAGTTGATGGTTTATTTAGTCTAATGACTACAAAAACGCATGGAGAGTAAACAATGATCTGCTATAAATTTGAGCAGGGTCCTCTTTAACCTACTGTTCCTGTAAGTTTTAATTGTAATAAATAACTATTTATAGTTAGATCACCCCCTCTTCTAATATTGTAAAGCGCTACAGAATCTGTTGGCACTAAATAAATGCCAATAATAATAAATTATGCAACTAGGTGCAAACCTCATACACACTCCCTCAAGGGCCCCCAATAATCATATATACAAAAAAAAAATCAGAATGAATACTATAACAACTGCAAAAGTCTATTTGACTAATAAATCCTTTATTGGAACAAATGAAAACATACAACATACCAAATCTGTAGACAAAATAAACAAGACAAAAATGCTTTTAATACAAAAGTAATTACCACAATTTCATAAGCTTAATAGGGCAGAGCACAAGCCACCCATACCCCCATTTGGATTTGGTATGTTGTATGTTTTAATTTGTTTCAATAAAGGATTTATTAGCCAAATAGACTTTTGGAGTTGTTATAGTATGCATTCTGATTTTGGGGGGGGGGTATATATATTATTAATTAAATAGTGAAGTGAGAACACAATTGCAAAGTACATGCTAAATTATCCAAGCTGTGTGTGTAGATGTGTTAGAAATTTTTTCACATTATTCTGTATTGACCTAGATATTGAAATTCGGTGTTCGTAGTCTATCATTGTCTTACAAAGTTGGATAATAAACTGTAGTGGGCATTCTGTCGAACAATGTGTGGAATTCATGCATACAATGTTGTGGTTATGGTGTTTAGTGTCCTTTTTAAGTAGCATCGATTTTAGTCTCTTCCTTGGATGATAGTGAATTATGGTAAGTATATCTGTTAGAAGGGTGAAGCACTTATTGTGCACTCAATGGGCATTGTACACCTATTCCTAAAACAGCATTTAAGGTATTTATTTATCACTGGCATTTATAAAACACCAACATATTCCGCAGCACTGTACTATTACTGAAAATAAACAGTACAATCTACACATGCCAATTTGAAAGTTAAGAGCTGAGATCTACCCATGGAAGCTCTTCGATACAAAGTGTCTAGTTGGTTAGCCTGTGAGCTTACAAACTTAAGGCTATAATGGCGATTTGATACAAGAGGTAGCTGGGGGAATTTGGAAGTGATGACCAGAGAAAATGAAAGGAAAGTTGTAGCTACTGTTAAAGGATCACTATAGTGTCAGGAAAACAAACTCGTTTTCCTGACACTGTTGTGCCCTAAGGGTGCCCCCACCCTCAGGGTCCCCCTCCCTTGGCGCTGAAGTGATTAAAACCCCTTCAGCAGCATACCTTTATCCAGTGCCGGGCTCCCTCGGCGCTGGTGACATCTCCTCCCCTTAGCGTCGGCAAGTGCCGCGCACGCATTCAAACAGTCCATAGGAAAGCATTTCTCAATGCTTTCCTATGGACATTCTGCACGTTGGACGCGAATTTCGCATCCAGCGTCGCAGGTGTGCCTCTAGTGGCTGTCAGGAAGACAATCACTAGAGGTTGGATGAACCCTTCTATGTAAACAGGGATCTGGCACCCAGACCACTTCATTGAGCTGAAGTGGTCTGGGTGACTATAGTGTCCCTATAATGTGTAAAGGGAATGAGGGGGTAATTGAGTAAGATCTCAGCTGGATGAGAATGCTATAAATTTAGAAGGAACTGTGCGGGTAGGTAGAGCTTAGAGAAAACGAAGAGTCTGATTTTGTGCTTGTGACCTGGGTTCGTGAATCAAGGCCTAAGAAACAGGGATGGAGAGAAAGCATTGTTATATGAAGGTATTTACAACTAGGAAGTCAAAGGATGGAGAGACAAGGATTGGGTAGAGCAAATATTTGCTGTTTACAATTGAAAAGTTTACCAACCAAATTCTATCACCCCAAATATTAATGACTATATGTACATAAAATATTGGTGGAGTACATTCACTGAAAATAACATTGAAAAACTGCATGTACAGAAAATTACAGTGGTAAACAAGAAGTATAAATGGTAACATTGGTGTAGTAAAAATGGTTATATGGTGACAAAGAGAGTAAATGAGGTAGACAATCTTCCAAGGTTCAGTCAGAGTTTTTTTGCTGTAGGTTTGTAAATCAAGGCCTGTATGTTTCAGAGTGAGGAGAAATGAAGTCTGAGTTTTTGCTTGTGAGCTGGATTTGGCCAGTCCTGATTGGTTACTCAACCGAGGAGCCTGGTTTCTTGGTGTGCATGTGCTGGAATGATGCCCCCAGGCATGTTATCTTGTCCATGATGCTAATTGTGTCACAGATATCACCTATTAGCTTTTTTTTTTTTTTCTTCTTCGTGTCCTTACGTCATTTATGTCTTGAAGTTTTGACTCCCTGTCATTTACCTTTTATTTATATTTATTATCCTTTCTTCCTTGTGTTAGGTTGCAATATCTGGGTGCTGCAATTTTGTCTTCTGTCCAGGATAACTGCAGTTTCTGTGGGGGATTGATTTTTACTGATTAATTGTGGCTAATTTAGCTTGGCAACTGAAATGGACCTTCTAAAAACATTTTTTAATATGATATTCCTTTCATCAGATTTGGAAAGGAAGTAAATATTTTGAAATTAATATTGTAGAAAAAAAAATTTTAATTAAAAAAAGCGAGAATACCTAATTCGCTCCTTTTGTATATAATTGGACCCTTCAGCCATTTACATGCACCTTGGGTCAGACAGTTTTCAGAACCGACAGTCTCTAAAAAAAAACAAAAACAAAACCCAACCTCTTCTTTACTTTCGGTGCTTGATAAAAGGATTATTGTATTACGCAGTAGTTTTAAGGTCACAGTTGTCCTTTAAGCTCCAACAGATTTGCACAGATCATGTTCCCTATCAGCAAAGGAGTCTCTACTTTTTCTTATGGGTGAGTAGAAAACTAAGAGAAATAAAAACTAAAACAAGGAGAAACTGCAGGACAAAAAAAAGAATCATTTAAAAACCAAAACCTGACTAGTGACAGTGCTGCTTTTGGGACCTACCAAAGCTGGCAGGCCTGTTATTACATAACGAGGCTCTCTATCCAGCCTTACTGCATAGTGCAAGTATTATGTTGCCTCGAGTCTCTGGGTGCCATTCCACAGTTTGAAAAAAAACATGTTTCTCCGTGACTTTTAGATGCTGCCATATGTAAGCCACATTGATAATGCACAATTACCACTTTAGCATGATCACCTGGACAGAGGTGATTGGCAGAGATTTCTTCTTACCCATCATGCTCTTCCTAATACTGCCATCCAGACAAGACATAAAAACTGTCTTTAGAAGTTATTACACTTTTAATTAAACTTTATCCACATACAAGTGTATTCTGCATGCTCTAGTGGTAAATTACAGAGCTGGGGATAATAATTTCTAAATGAAACACACACATGCACACATGTGCCATAAAAGAAACTAAAAAAGTTGAGCTTTTTTTTTTTTTCATTTTTTTTTTTTTCAAAGTGTGTAGGGGGTCTGTGTGAGTTACAGCCAGGGCATGCTTGGTTAGGACTGCGTAAACCAAGTGACGGAGAGCTCACATCAGATCTCATGGCTGTCATTCTGGCTGAGCGTAGTTGGGGAGTGGTGCCTGTGGCATTTTATATGAATTCAGACCATTAATAAATGGTTTGGCTGCTTACAGTTTGTGTGTTTGAGGCAGGGCACTCCTCGTACCATAATCACTACAGAGCTCTATTGACACTGCAGTGGACTGATTAAAGCATTAAAGCTGTTTGATTAATTTAAAGTTGTTATGGTGCTTAGAGTGTCCTATGAACTATGGCCCAGTCCTGTTTTCATTCTTATAGAGTATCTGTGACACTATTTGAGAATTACAGTCCACAGGAGCCTCTCAACCAAACTGAACCCAAATCTGCCTAAAATGGGCGAATATTATCCCCTAGCTACTGTGCAAATCTAGAAGATACTTGCCTCTAAAGACTTAAAGGGTTACTCCAAGCATCATAACCACTACAGCACAATGTAGTGGTTATGATGCCTGCGGTACCCTGGCCTGGTAATGTGGCAAAATGTTTAGCAACGGTTTTCCTCCTTACTAGGCTCCCTGCCGGGCTCCAGGGCTCCCTCCCTGGTGGCCCAATGACACACTACCAGCTTTTGCAGAGCTGCGGAAGATGTTAGCCGTGGTGGTTGACATTCGTTGGCTGAGAGTGCCAGCTGACTGCTCTCCGGTAATGACTGTCTATCTGTGCAACAAAAGAATTGGCTGATGACACCCCTATGATTACACCTCTGGCAGTAGAGGAGTTAATCTCTGTATGTGCAGTGTTTCTGTAATAAATATGTATGTAATATTCTACAGTTTCCAAATAAAATGCTGCACATACACACTACGTTCATTTCAAATCACTGAAGTGGTCATGGTCCTTGACGTAATCCGTTAAAGATGTTATTACAGCAAAAGGTGGCTTGACTAAATATCAGTGTAAGAAGTTTGAATACAACACATTTCAGTTTTTCCTTTAAATATCGAATCGGCAGTACCTAATGTTGGTTTTAAAATCTACTCAATTGCAATAGAGTTTGCAATAAAATTACTGCTTGGGCACTTGTGAGTGTGTATCATTTGTAAATTAGAAATACGTTTTCATTTTGAAAGGCTATGTATCTGTTTTCAAGGCAACTGGTATTGATAAAGTGAATTGGGAATTGATTTAAATGTCAGCTGTAATAAAGTTATTGAGTAATCTCTCCAGGGCAGCAAACCTGTTCAGTGCGGGTTAATGGTAGCAATGAAGATAATTGCAGGTTTGTGCTTGAAGGTGAAAAAAGTTATGATTTGAATATTTAATTTCAGTAAAAAGGTCATCATCCACTTACAGATGTAAGAGAGAGAATTAGAGGCACAAACCAATCAGAATAGGAAGGACAGGCATCTATTGATCCTCTAGCACAAAATAGCAGACAGCAAACTCTGAAACTGGGGACACCTCTAGGCCACAACAGTTGCTACTTGAAAAAGATTATTGGTGAAATGCATTGTTGGATTCTTTTATTTATTTTATTTATTAATAAAGCATTGAGGTTCCTCTAGTTTTGGACTTGCTAGACTTTATTGTTTTTTTTTTTTAAATGTTATTCTATCATTGTTCCTGGCATTACCTGAAGCACATCTCACTGGATTGCTACCTTTAAATCCTTGATATGGATTGTTATACCCATGTTGCAAATACTGAGCAAATCCATTGCTCAAAAAATTGTGAGTGCATTTTCAGTTCTTCATATCTAATATTACGAAGAGAACACTATATTCCGTCTCCTTTTTTTTTTTTTTTATATATATATATATATATATATATATATATATATATATATATATATATATATATAGGAAATCGCTGGACGACAAGTGTATCAACTATATCTCTTGGTGGGGATTATACCACCTTATACCTGAAAATGTGAGTTTTAATAGAAAGCTCTACACTTTTGACTGTACATTTCATATTCTTTGGCACTTTATATGCCCTGTAGTTATAATATTGCACTATCGGATTTTACTCTCATTGGATGTTCTACTGGGGCCTACAAGACCAGCGCTTCCTACACCTATATCCAATAATGGGGATTATACCACTACATGCTGATATTACTGGAGCTTGTGGTTAAGCTTCATAAAGTGGACATTTAAGCACTCTGTTGTCTGTCATTTACCCAGTATACTAAGTACTACATTATCATTATTCTTTCTCTCTCTTCTATCAAAATATACGCCTAGTGAGGACGGAATAGACTGCAAAATAACTTCGGCCATTAGAAGAATTTCTGGACTTTATTTTATTCATTAGTTGTTGTTATTTTTGCTTTTTTACTTTTTATTTTATATGTTCTATAGTATCTACTTTTTGTTCTCTTATTTTTATCCAGTAATTTGTTTCTTTTTTTTTTGGTGCAACCTATTTGTATTTGTTTGCATCTATGTATCCCCTGAATACTTCTGTCTTCTGAAGTGGGTGAATCGTCTTGTATAAAGTAAAAAATAACAACAAACAATTTACTCATTCCTTAAAGGAACCCTCATGACTTAAACCTGTATTCCTAACGCTATAGTGCTCTATTTACAGAGTAATATTAGGTCCCCACCTTTTTCTCCAGCACCTAGATTCCTTCTGCACTGCTGGCTGCTCTGCCTCCTGTGACTTCATCCAGCTATTGAGCCGATGGCCAATCCAGTGTTAATCACAGAGGAGCATTGGTAACTGATGTGCATGCACGTCGAGCAAATCCAGATACTTCTCTTACGAAAGCATTGCATTCAATGCTTTCCTATGAGCTGCAACCTCACGTAACACAGGAAGCGCCTCTGGTGGATGTCTAGAAGGCAGCCACTACAGTTGTGTTTAAAATATATAGGTGACAGGTTTTTAGCATGTACAGTTGAATATATAATGCAGCTCAAGCAACCCAATCCAAAGCCTCGCTGTTCCAGTCCAGTTTAAAATGTGTGAGATGAAGGGAGGATGTAGCGCCTTTAGGGAATTCTCAGACATAGATAAATATGTAAAACAAAATGAAGAATCTGACACAATACAGTGTAGTATTTCTAGTACAAATGACTAAAGGAAAGTTAGGCACTTACAGTGTGTAGAGCTTAAATTAGCTCTATTTTCATGCGATTGGGATATACAATCCCCGTCTAGGGATATCTTGTGTGTACTTTTAATCCAGCAGTAAGTGCTTAGGGGAATATGTGAGATAAAACCAAATCTGGTGCAGTATGTATTTAGTACTGAGGAAGAATTCAAAATAAAGAAATACATTCACAGTATATAGAGACACCACCTAGCTCTCAGAAAACCGCATAGGGTGCTACAATCCCCACTTAAGGATCTTATTCGCTTGCAGGTGCTCTCGTGGTGTATACGAGTAAAAAACGAAATAAATATATAGTGCTCACTGTTATAGGTAAAAGGTGATAAAAGTATGAGAGGTACTCACACCTGGAGCAAAAGTGGGTTTTGCTCAGTCCTCTGGGTTCAGGTGGTATATCCTCCACCAAAGGCATACGTTTACAGGCTCAAAAAAAAACAGTCAGGGTAAGTCCAGGGATAAAAAAAATATATATTTAAAAAAAAAAAAAACCACAAACTAGTTTGTTAGAGAACTGGCAATCTAAAAGAAAAAAATATATAGTAGTAAAGGAGAAGCGCAGCCACATCTTGTTCAGTAGCCAGGGAGAAAGTCTGAAGGATAGGAAAGGCATGAACTACTTGTGGTTGAGAAAGAGAGCGACAAGGCGCGTTCCTTCTCTCTGCTTGGACAGAAGGATCTGGGACAGAATAAAGAGATGTGGGACAGAATAAAGAGATCTGTATGGTGACAGAATAAAAAGATTTTGAGACAGAATATGAAAAAAGTGACAAAATGAAAAGTATGCTGTTTGCGATAAACTTTGCGTAAAATAGTTTATTTGCACTTAATTTTAATGGTTCAAAGAATGTCAGGCAAAGTGGTTGGCCCTCACGCATGTTCACTTCATTAAATATGGCCCTCTTTCAAAAAAGTTTGGACACCCCTGCTTTAGGAGCTCTCCATTAGAGTAAATCTGTCATTACATTCTCCCTTTAAACCGCTAAATTGGTCATTTCATCTGGTTAATCACATACGGAGCTCAAGCAAAAGATGACTTGCTGGTCTTGCAGTCAGGACTCAAACATCATTAAACGCAGTTGAAAGGGATTAATGCACATGTTTACTTGTTAATACGGTTTAAGATTTCCCCTTGCCATTTTGTCTCTATAATAGTCTAAATTTTCATGGCATGCATTCAGCAAAGTGCAGGAAGCATTTCTTTTGATCCATGTTGACGTAATAACATGAGGTGATTTTTGGAGGCTTTTGAAATACACTGAGCCCATTGTCATCTTCGTGGAGCAAGCTTGAGATGGCGTGCTTTATGACATTTTGTTTGTCCTGCTGTAAGTCTTCTTTAGAAAATGTGTAAGCTGTGGACACAATCAGCAACAAAATTCAGGTCAGCTGTGGCTTTTTTTTTTCTTTTGTAAAGTGGCCTAATTTTTTCCAAGAAACTATTTCCCGCATCATTTTATCACTATGCTGAACCACTACTCATGGCATTATGGGTGCATGGATAGCCTCAGGTTCCTGTTCTGAGCATCCATTTTACTTGTGAGCTCTCTCATTACCTGAGGTTTTCTCCCACAGGCAGGGCCTGCACTTTCTATAGGCAAATTAGGTGGCTGCCTAGGGCGCTGCTTAAGGGGAGGGCACCGGTCCTGGCTTTATGATTGTTTGTGCTGCGGCCGCCCCTCTATCAAGTTTGCTTATTTCGAGTGTGCTGCCGACCATGTTACTGGGCGCTTGTTAGCACTTACGTGTTGCTGACACGCGCTCGGTAGAACATAGGTATGGCAACATACACATTAACCTTCATAGCCAGCCCCCCCCCCCCCGCCACAGACATCCATCGCAGCGGCAGCGCAAGGGTTCTACAATTCCTCGCTCCTGCCCCTTTTTGTGTTAGTGGAGAGAAGTGGGCGGGAGCATAACAGCAAATGTGCTGAAAAAGGCAGTGATGGGCTGCCAGGCACAGGCAAGATGAACATAGGAACAGCAAAGATAAGATGTGTGAAAGAATGTGTGTTAGTCTGCTTCAGCCAGTATGTCTGTGTAATTTCTGTCTGCATGGATTAGTGTGTGTGTGTTTATGGGTCAGTTTGTGTGTCTGCATGGGTCAGTGTGTCTGCATGTGCCAGTGTATGTGTCTGTATGGGTCATTGTGTGTATGGGCCGGTGTGTGTGTCTGTATGGGTCAGTGTGTGCCTGTATGTGCCTGTATGGGTCAGTGTGTCTGCTGCTTACTGGATGTTTTGTTTTATGTACAATTTCTCTGGAAACACTAGAGACTGTGCTTAAAGAGACACTATAGTCACCAGAACAACTATAGCTTAATGTTGTAACTCCTGCAATGTCATTGTGGCATCCATTAACCATGTGGTCAGATTAATCCTAACATCATTACCACTAGAGTGGGCCTTTAAACATTTCAGGAGAGCATCTGTTTCGTCTTTCATCTTTGTCTGCATGCTGTCTCTTATTGAAACCAGAAGGCACTGCACACGAGGACAGAACTTCCTGATGGAATCAATTGGTATTCCTGAAGTGTGGTCATTAAGCAACATGCATTTCAATATAGATGCCCCTGGTAGTTGTAGTACTTTGGTTGAGATCCTTATGAATTTAAACACATGTAAGGACCTTTAAAATATGTGTTTATATTTTATAGCTCATTATGAACCCACCTTATGTTTGTTAGTTATTTTTTTGCAGTGGAAACCCTTTGTCCACTTGTTTAACCACACTGTTTGCACTGATATGTAAATTAAATAATATTCACCTGTCCAAGTGGACTTTGATGTTGAATCAGTTGTTAGTTTGGTAACCACCTTCTGTTCTCATATAGTAGATTACACAGAAACTCAGTGTTCCATGGGAAATCCCCGTAATTCATGAGTTCTATAGTTGTTAAAGGAACACTATACAAACATATATTCCTAATGCTATTGTGACATGCTTAATATTTATGGTACGTTGCCCCCCCACCCCTCCTCCTCTTGTGAAGGAAAAAAGATTGTTTATTTAAATTTTTCAATCGCGAAGGTGGATGGCTTTTGCTACTTGGCTGAGATTATTTTGATGATCTCAGCAACGGCAATGCTTTCTGTAGTAAAGCATTGGAAAACTAGTGTGTGTGCTCAGCAAATGCAGCGGCAATCAAATGGTCTCTATGAGACCGTCTGATTGAATATCTGTTTAACTTGGCTATTGGTGTTCCTACATATTTAAAATGACAGGGCCATGGCACATAGACCAGTTTATTGAGATGGAGTGGTCTGGGTGCCTGCAATGTCCCTTTAAGGAAAACTTAATGCTAAAATATGAAGTTTAGAGAAACATTATTCTAAAGTGGGACATATGCGTTCATTAAACTGAAAATTGTAGAGTTACCATGAGAATTGCAATTTTTAGCTTAATTTGAAAAATTCTCCAACTATTCTTCTTTTTGTGGTCTAAAAACTTGCAGTTTTTTTTTTTTTTCTATAATTCCCTTTTTGGGAATGTGCACTTATCCACTGTAAAATTGGGTACTATGGAAAACAGTATTTTCCCTCATGCTCCATAATCTGGTCAGTCATTCAAGGGTTACTCAAACCCTTTTTGGGAATGTGCACTTATCCTATGGAAAAGATTCCCCCTCCTCCCATCCCCCAAAGTTTTACGCACCTGGAAACCAGTGCTAGGCAAAGCTTCTGACACTGACTTCTGTACCTACTTCCGACATCACAGGGGCCGCATGGACCAATCAATGACTTCTCGTAGAGGAGCCTGTGATTGGTGCAGTGCGCCCTGACAACATGCAAAATATGCACAGATTTGACATTAGACAGCCCGCAATAGAGTTCCTAGTTGCCAATGTGAGGTGCCAGGGGTGCAACTAGCTCCCAGCACACAATTAAAAATATTTCTCTGTGTGCCGTGTTTCAAGCTAAAACACTGCATATACTGACCCCTAGCACCATTGCCACTTCAGAAAATCACTGTTATCACGGTGGTTCGAGTTACCCTTTAACTGAAAGATACCTTGCCAGTTTTTTTACGAGTTCATGGAAAAATTAATCGACATTGTTGGAATTTCATTCTGATTCAAGTGCAATTTTTGGCAAAATGTAGCAAACATTGGATCTTAAAACAGATTCTGCCTTCTGCATTGTGCCATTTCGTAGCAGCTGCCATTTGCAATGGCTGATAGAACAGCCATTCAGCCACTTTCTTATATACTGCAGAGCTTACTTCTGGTTGTTAGTAGTGGAGGCAGAGAACAGCGCTCGGCGTACAATGAGCTGCCGTGGTATTAAATGTCTTTCTGTGCCTTTGCGGACAAGGCATTTCATGTTTCGAGTTGCCACATAGTTTATGCTGAAGAGAAACAAATTGTGGAGCATTGTTCTGTTTCTAGGGATCTTTTACAGAGAAATAGGGGATTATCTGCTAAATAAATGACAAGAACAATGCATAGCGCATAATTGTGTGTATGAATAAACCAAGTGTATAATTCACAAATGGCCACTCACACTTTCTCTGAAATTAGAATGCCTTGAAAATAAATTTCTTTTTTCAGCATAAAGGCCTTTCCAGGAATAATTCTTCCATCTACATTTAAACTCTCATGGATCAGCTGGAAGATCAGCTCAAAGAAAAAGCAATAAAATTGTAGTGCACATAATAAGTCTATAATTTTAATGGTAGGTGTATTTTAACAGTGAGAGACAGAATAACAAAAAAATATCCAGAATATCCAGAAAAACGCATGCCAAAAAAAGTTATAAATTGATTTGCATGTCAATAAGTATTTGACCCCTTCGACTTAGTACTTGGTGGCAAAAACCTTGTTGGCAATCACATGGGTCAGACGTTTCATGTAGTAGGCCACCAGGTTTGCACACATCTCAGGAGGGGTTTTGTCCCACTACTCTTTGCAGATCCTCTCCAAGTCATTTAGTGTCACGATTACTATATGACCCAACACCCAGAACTATGTAAAACACAATGAACAAGGATAACGTATACCGGGCCTTAGAATGGCCGGACTTAATGTAAATAAAGAATGTTCAAAATACCAGCTGAGGTCAGGGACACAGAAAGAGACACAACGAGGAAACAAGCGAAAAGTCAAGGAAACCAGAAATACAGGAAAGTCAAATACCAAAAAGAGCTAGAATAGGAACACACTCTCTGTTAACCAACTAGTGGAAACCACGACAGGGCACTGACCAAATGCTATTTTGAGTTTAAATAACCCTCCTAATGCTATGATTTGTTGTACATAGCCTTTGACCCCAAAACGTGCGTGCACATCACACGCACATCGGCGCCATATTTGTTGAGGACGGAGGCGGGGGGGGGATTTGTTTGTCCAGTCAGGGATCGCTCCACAAGGGTGCTGAATGGCAAGCTGACTTGCCTTAGGCACTTTTTATTATTTTAACAGCGTGACCGCAGCGATCAGATGCGGCCACGCTGTTTGGACATGCGGGGATGTGACATTAAGGTTACGAGGCTGACATTTGACAACTTGAACCTTCAGCTCCCTCCACAGATTTTCTATGGGATTAAGGTCTGGAGTTGGCTAGGACACTATAGGACCTTAATGAGCTGCTTCTTTAGCCACTCCTTTGTTGCCTTGGCTGTGTTTTTAGGGTCATTGTCATGCTCGAATACCCATCCATGACCCATTTTCAGTGCCCTGGCTGAGGGAAGGAGGTTCTCACCCAAGATTTGATGGTACATGGCCATGTCGACCATTCCTTTGATGCGGTGCGGTTGACCTGCCCCTTAGCAGAAAAACACCCCCAAAGCATTCCTCCACCTCCAAACACAGTAAATTGAGTTGATACCAAAGAGCTCAATTTTGGTCTCATCTGACCACAAAATTTTCACCCAGTTCTCCTCTGAATCATTCAGATGTTCATTGACAAACTTCAGATGGGCCTGTACATGTGCTTTCTTGAGCAGGGGGACATTGCGGGTGCTGCAGGATTTCAGTCCTTCACGACATAGTGTGTTGCCAATTGTTTTTTTGGTGACTTTGGTCCCAGCTGCCTTGAGATTATTAACAAGATCCTCCTATGTAGTTCTAGGCTGATACCTCACCGTTCTCATGATCATTGAAACACGAGGTGAGATCTTGCATGGAGCACCATACCGAATGAGACTGACAGTAATTTTGTGTTTCTTCCATTTGCGAATAATCGCACCAACTGTTGTCACCTTCTCACCAAGCTGCTTGGCGATGGTCTTGTAGTCCATGCCAGCCTTGTGTAGGTCTACAATCTTGTTCCTGACATTCCTGGCCATGTAGAGAGTTTGGAATCTGATCGATTGCTTCTGTGGACAGGTGTCTTTTATACAGGTAACGAGCTGCGATTAGGAGCACTCTCTTTAAGAGAGAGCTCCTAATCTCAGCTCGTTACCTGTATAAAAGACAGCTTGGAGCCATAAATCTTGCTGATTGATAGGGGATCAAATACTTATATCACTCATTGACATGCAAATACATTTTTATAACTTTTTTTGACATGCAGTTTTCTGGATTTTTTTTTTTTGTTATTCTGTCTCTCACTGTTTAAAATACACCTACTATTTAAAATTATAGACTGATCATTTCTTTGTCAGTGGGCAAACATTCCAAATCAACAGGGGATCAAATACTTTCCCCCCTCATTGTATTGGAAATGAGTTTTACTTCATGAGATGATTGATGCATGTGGTGTCATTGGTTTCCCTAAAATATTTAGATTTTTATGTTCTGTGTTTTTCCCTTAAAATCAGATTAATAATAATTTGGAAGAAAATAAATCAATGCATTGTGAGTCTTCACATATTACAGGCAAATATAACCTGTTATTCTGGTCTGTATTTTCAGAAGCAAATTATTTGAGTGCCGTTTACTACATTGACGCCGTCCAAATCATGTCCGGTTGAGCAGCATACAACGCCATAATATCTACTATTATTATTACTTTGTTTACAAGTGTACTTTAGTTGGATTGAATTGACGTTGCATACAATATCTCTGGGTCAGGTGCTGCCTAAAGTCCATGATGAGAAATTACATTTCTCTCCTTTTCTATTTCTACAGTGGGCTGTAGTGTAGTCATTCTGCTTGGAGTAACCTTGTAACAGTGGTTTCTTGACTGCCTTTTGTAAAGACACAGCCATTCTCCCCCCTCCACCCCCCCAAAACCTCATGAGACCGCATAGTCCCTACTTCGTCTAATGTATATCTTTTGGCAGTGTTGGCAATCCATCAAATTGCAGTACAATCTTTGTACGTTTTCCATATACCTTCAGAAGTGACTGTACAGCTTTAACAGCTCAGAATAGCTTCACCCATTACCCAGTACAATCAGTACATTAGTTCTAAACACGTCTAGTTGCTATTTGACAAAACCATTTACATCAACAATGCTTACAAAGTTTAATATAAAGCATAAAAATTTAAATATGACACTTCCTTTTTAACTTGTTGTTAGAACAGGAGCAAGGGCTGTCTACTGCAGCCATGGCAATGGTCATCCTGGTACCCACAGCAAACACTTTATTCACATTATAGAAAGTGCACAAATAGGTGTTGTAGTCAATAAGTTGGGGTTAGTTGTGTGTGCACATGAAAGTGTTCTAAATGTTTCATAACTTTTGTGTAGAGTTGACTATCACTCAAACGTAAGCACTGGATCATTACTGAATCTTACTCTGTTACTCACTCCTTATGAAGAACGGCATAATTGAACATCTGTAAGGTCTGTCTTAGTAATATATAACTGTAGTGGTAAGCCAGTGACAATCCTAAGAATATGCAGCCTGTTGAGGGATAGTCAATCCTGGTCTTCCCATATGGTTTAACGGAAGAGCTGTGCATATTTCATAAAAGCCTGTTTAGCACGTGTTTCAGTAGCCGTGAGCAGTTCAATTCATGATTTAAAAAAAACAAAAAACACGAGTTAGAAAGTACATGACAGTCTATTAAAAGGTACATGTGGCTTTTATTATCTTGCCTAGTAATTTTATTAATATTTCTAATTAATTAAGCATATCCAGTCTGAGCATATGTGCTGATGCTAAATAAACTGTCTATTACAACACTATAAAAGAGCTGCTACGAGTAGCCCTAAATAGATTACCGGTTCTTCTCTGCTGTGAAGTAAGAACTCCTTAATATATAGGCAGGTTCTTTTTTCCAAAGAGAACATGAGGTTAGGATACACGGGGGTAGAGAAGATCTTCACTGATGCATTTTGAGCTTGAACATGCACTTCATCTGGCACCTTATCTGGTGAGGCACAAAGCGCGTTGGTGGTGATCTTCACTCTCCCTCCTGTGTGCCCTTACAGTATGTTCACTTTGGAATAAAGAACATTCATCCTTATCTATGGATCAAGGCTTTCTCTCTTCATGATGGAGGAGATATGGCAATCCATTTAAGTCTAGTGTCTCTCTGCAGTTGCGGAGCATGCATGCTTCTCCTAGGATTCAGGTACGCCTTGCTGTGCTACACCTTTTTTTTTTTGTTGTTGTTGTTTCAAACTATATATATATTTTTTCATTTATTTTCTCTGCTACAAGCACCATGTCTCTTACAGTCTGCACACTAGCTGTGCTAGATCCTATATAGCCATGGGAACTGTTCTGACCACACAGGATGTGTTGGTAAGGTCATTGTGGTGCTTCGGACTGGCTAAGCATTGTGAGCAATATAGTTAAAAAATTCTAGAATGCTAAAATTACCCATTCCTGACACAAATTAAGTGAAGAATTTTACAGAACTGTCCGTTTGATGGTATTCTATTGAACTGTTATTATATATTCTGTTGCTATGGTATTGATATTTTAAAGCTAATGTTCACTTAAATGTTTTTTGTTTTTTAAAGTACCGTATGTTACTACTCTTGAAACTGTTGAGGTTGAAAAGAAAAAGAAAAGCAATATCATGTTATTGTTTGCTTTTAAAATCTTTTCCGCCATGAGTAATCATTGTTATACAGAAGCTTAATGAAATCCTCACATACACATAGCAGAACGAAAACAAATGGGCGGTGCAGTGTTTGTTTTGGCTGCATTACAGCTCAAGACTGTAGAGAGGCAGGATGGCTTCTAGAGAGACAATTTAGAAGAGAATTCTAGAAGATGATGTGAAAAATTACAAGAGCATCAACAAGCTCCTTAGTAGCTTCTTGAGTAAGAAAATTACAAGAGCATTTACGAGCTCCTTAGCATCTTGCATAAAAAAAGTGATCTTTGCAGACAATGCCAAGGTGGAATTGGCAGGATTTGTCGATAGACTGGATATGACGTGTAAAGGTGAGGCCACAATCAAAAATAATACCAAGGCATCAAGCTTGCAAAGATGGGCTAATACTTGTACCATCAACTTGGCGGGAGAGAAACAGCGGAGTATTAATATTATTAGGAGGGAAGAGAAGAAGCTATAATTTTTTTTTTTAAGATTTTTTAAAGTGGAAGAACATAATATACGAGATGGAATAGAATTGGGTTTCATCGGCATATAGGTGGTGGTTGAATCCAAAAATAATTAATACGTTTGCCAAGAGAGGTAGTATGAAGAGAAAATAGAAGGGGACAAGATGAGGGGAGGAGGTGTTACCAGAAGAGGAGACACTGAAGATAGGACGGAAAACGTAAAAGGTTAGTATCATGAAGGCTAAGGGTGTGAAGAATTCACAAGAGAGCGTAATCAACGTTGTCAACGGTAGCAGAAAGGTCTACGAGATTTAATGTGAAACAATGACCTTTGGATTTAACCCTGGTCAGATCATTAGTTACTTTAGTCAGAGCAATCTCAGATGAATGTGGGTGCGGAAGCTAGAAGAGATTCGAGGAGGGAGTTTGTATCAAGCGTATCAGACGGGTACAGTCGTTCCATAAACTTTGAAGAGATGGGGAGCATAGATGTGGAGCTGTACTTATTAGTCAAGAGATGGCTTTTTAGGTACAACAGTAACATGTTTAGGTGGGGTGGGGACTATGCCAGAGGCAAGAGAGCCATTGAAGATATGTGTCAAGGAGGCACAAGGCAAGGTGAGTGAGATCTGATAAGTTGTGAGGGAATGGGATCAAGGGACAACTGGTAGGCAGAGAGGAGAGAAGAAGTGCAGGTACATCCTGTTCAGTAACTAGGGAGAAGACCTAAAGGGTAGAAGAGCGAGATCAATGCCAAGTTGACAGAGGAGTCAGGGGAGGAGAATTATTTTCTTAACTGATTAATTTTGTCAGTAAAATGGCATGCAAAGTTATCAGCTGTAAGGTTAGTGTGTTGGGTGGCCACAGCTGGGAGATGTAGAGATTTGAAGGAGATTGTGAGAGTATGTACTAATGAGAGAGGAATAATATGACTGTATAGCAGAGAGCTGCGCTGTACGAGTGTAGCAGAATTTGTAATGAAGAAAGTTTGGCAAGTTGCGAGATTTCCTCCAGCAAGCTGAACAGGAGCTTTTTTGTAGGTAGTGGGTCGACTAAATGTGCCATGGTTGGAGAAGTGTCCACCTTGAGGTTAGGTTTTGAGTGGGGCTGCTTTGTCCAGGGTAGAGGTGAGGGTGGTGTTGTACAAGAAGATAACCAGAGAGGGACAGAAGAAAATAAGGATGAATAAGAGTTGAGGATGCAGATTAGCTGGCAGTTGCTGGAGATCAAGATAATTAAGTTTTTTTTTTTTTCTATGTTCAGAAAGGTTAGGGTGAGGATGTTGGATGAGGGAGCTAGGGAGAACAAAATATAAGTGGTGATTTGAGAGATGGATCTTTAGAGACACGAGAGGCTGAAAAAAAAATTGGTTACGGCTCTTACCAGTTACATGTGTTGGAGAGGTTGCCCACTTGGATACTTTAAGGGAGAAAGTAATAGACGTTTTGAGGCCCCAGAGGTCAAATGATGGTTAATTGGAATGTGAAAGTCCCCATGAATTAGGGATGGAAGGAAGTGGGGAAGTCGGGCAGTAAATTGGTCTAGGACAGGGGTAGGCAACTTTTGGCACTCCTGATGTTGTGGAAAAGCAAAAACCCCTAGCTTGCTACCTTTACTGTCAGATCCTCTTGAGGTGTGAGTTAATTGTAGACTACTGAAGGATCATGAGACAGAAGTATACATGCATATTTTCTTTGGGGTCATATGGCGGTGCACAATCACTTTAGATTGTAACCTAATTTGGGCAGGGCTCTCTTTACCTACTGTTTCTTTATGTCATACGTATTTTGCTAGAATTAAATATTTGTCTTTTTTACCTTTTGTACAGTGCTGTGGAATATGTTGCTGCTACATAAATAATTGTAATTTCATGTACTTTTTTTTAAAATGTTTCAATGAAGGGTCCTTTAAGTCCTTATATTTAGCCCCCTCCCCCAGAACCCTTCTTTTGCCATAGCAGAGTGTTGTTGTTTTTTTTCTACTTTTTCTAATACTGCATCATTTGGTTGCTATTTGGTTATGTTACTACTGCCATTGGCTGATGTTTTTTTTTTTAGTGGTTATGGTGCCAGGAGTGACTTGGCATCCTTCCACATTATGTAATAAAATCAATTAAGAATAGTTTGGCAACTTACCTGTGCAGGTCTGGATGCTGTGTGTTATCTGCCAGTGGGTGCCTCCCTTTTAATGGGATTTCACTTCAGTCAATAGAGAATGCTGACATTCACCGCTGAATTGTGACAAATTAAATTGGCAGTTCTGTAGCTTGGCAAATAGACTTGTTTTTGCTTGCCATATTGCTAACAAGTGTTTAAAAAAACCAAACCAAACCAAAGGACGACAGACACCAGACAGTGAAAACCTATAGATAGACATAAATACCAGATAAAACACTTAACCAGTGTAGACTCACAGGTAATAAAGTTCCAAATTGTGGAAGAGAAAGAAAAAAACTAAAATATCATGGCACAATACGTTTTTTACACAAATAAAATTATATATATCTCTCTCTATATCCACACGTAAACAATATTGCACATAAAGATACATGTATAAATAACGCCTTGCCTTATAGACTACAAGGACATCTGCATAGACCACTTAGCTGTAAGGGTTAAATTCCAGCAGATCTCCCAGTCGTGACTCGGGGCATTCTCCAAGGATGGTGTTCCTACATGTAGCAGGGTAGGTACGGTCCAACACGTGCGCTGGTCTTTGTTTGAACAAGGCCTTCTTCACCTCTTGTATCAGTTATATTCCCATTTTATAATTGTAAACCGCTGTGCAATATGTTGGCGCTATATAAATAATGATGATAATAATCTGTCTGTGAGTGGTCCTATAAGTGACTGCATCCTCTAGTGTGCTTTATCTCTTATCTAGTATCCTTTTTTTCAGTGTACTTTTTGTTTTCAAATTGTTAGCAGGTGTATGAAGAATAAAACTTTATTAGAGTTTAAAATACACTTTCTTTTGGGTGCTACAGCAAATCTTTAGCTGCTTTACAGTGAATTTACTTTCCATGTGGCCTCTCCTTTTATTTATATGTCAATTGATCTTATATAATCTGATTTGAGTTCATCGATTTATACATCAGTAAAACTTTCTATTCATTTTTTCCTACATAGTTTTCGACGTTTTTTTTTGTTTGGTTTTTTTGTCTCCTTCATATTTCCAGCTTGCAGCTTTTGGAAGATTTTTCTTTTTGATCGTTCACTTGCAAGATGATTAAGAGCCAAGTTGGTGTCTCATGCTCCGATTATTTCTCGAAAGTTAAATAATCTGAGTTTGTTTGTGATCTGGCAGCTGTGTCTTTTACATACTGCTGCCACGTTTTACACGAAGAATCATTTCGCAGCTGAAACCACGAACCAGAACTGCAAGATTGCTCAAAACATTTCTGCAGACTGCTTCCTGGAAAAAAATCAGTTAAGTTATTTTTTTTTCTCTGTGGTTTGATTGATAGCATTAATGAAACCTTTGTGCAACAAACCTAACAAATGTTTTTAACATATGGTTTGTTTGTTTTGTTTTTTTTTCTCTCTCCATTGTTTTGCTTGCTTATAATGTGTCAGACAGATCGATACACAGCGCTACGGAACTTGTTTGCTCTTTAAAAATAATAATAATAACAACAATACACATAACATACAACAGATTGTTAAAGGATTTTTTTTATCAGGAAATCAGTTTACCTCTTCCTTATTATTTTGTATTGATGTGGCACAAACACACTGTAATGGTAAAAGCTGTTGATTTAGTCTATTTGGCTGTATGGTATCATATACATTTTACGCGGACACAGAGGAATTGTTTATGAAGTAGAAAATCCTTAGCTTTAGAGCTCTTAACTCTCAGACAATTATAGATTTAACTGGACAGGCATCTTTAATACTTCATTGCAAGTAAACCTAAATTTTGGGGTGGGGAGAGGGGGTTGTTTTGTTTTTTTACGCTGTCTGAGATCATAATTTGTTAAAGTACCACTATAGTGCCAGGAAACTTGTGATTATATTATTATAGTGTTAATAGGTGCCCCCCTCCCGCTGGGCTAAAGTGGGAGGAAGAGGTTAAAATCTTACCTTTCTTCAGCGCCGAGCTCCCTTGGCGCTGGGGACTCTCCTCCTCCTTCGGACATCATCGGCTGAATGCACATGCGCAGCAAGAGCCATGTGCGCATTCAGTCAGTCCATAGGAAAGCATTCTCAATGCTTTCCTATGGACACTGGCGTCTTCGCACTGTGAAAATCACAGTGAGAAGCGCGGAAGCGCCTCTAGCAGCTGTCAATGAGACAGCCACTAGAGACTGGATTAACCCATATGTAAACATAGCAGTTTCTCTGAAACTGCTATGTTTACAGCAGGCAGGATTAACCCTAGATGGACCTGGCACCCAGACCACTTCATTGAACTGAAGTACTCTGGGTGCCTATAGTGGTCCCTTAAATGAATGATAAAGTGGTTAACTTCAAAATATATGCACTTTTGGATGTACGCTGCCGTTCTTACAGCATCAATACTGTTGAACATCAGCAAACATCAATGTTCAATACTTTAGAAATCAGCAAATATGTATAAACAAATCAGTGCAACTGATCTATACAATTGAAAAGTTTTCCAAGAGTTTTCTGTTCTCCATTTAAAAATGGTTTAAAAAACCAACACCAAAAAAAACTACTCCCGTAGTCTTCTTGTACCATAACTGCTACAAAAAGCTATAGTGTTTGGAGTGTCTGTTTAAAAGAGGAGGGTGAGATCTCTAGACCCCCAATCAACCATAGCTATTAGATGTGTTGATATGAGCTACTTGTATTTACTTTCCTCCAAAGTGCATCACTTTTAGAGTGACAGTCTTGCTTTTCAATCAGAATACCCGTTTTGTTGTTTGTTTTTTTGTAAATCCTTATTTGTTCAGTAGATTTTTAGAAAGACATAAACAATGAAGGAGATTTGTCTAAAGAGTAAACATAGCACACATCATTTTATAAACAAATGTAAGAAAAGGTAATGACCTTTTAGAACCAACTTGTGTTTCTTTATTATCTAGTTGTGTTTCTCTTTAAAAGCTTATACTTGGGGTTAAATACAAGTGATGTGTATTACTTTATCATAGCAATAAAACAGTAATGTATGTGGTGTCTGAATGTGTCACAGCTATAAAGCTCACAGGAAAGTTTGAGTAAACAACAGTGATTATAAGTGTGGGCAATTAAGAAATTGGCTTTTTGTTGTGTAGTTGGCTATCAAAAGCTCATAATTGCACCTAGACATTCTCAGAAATGCTTTGCTAACCAGGCTTCGACTTCCGCTTTCTAAATTTTTTATATTTATCTAATTCTCTTACCTAAACAGGTTTCACTAATGAATCATCAGTCATGAAATGTGATTGATTAATTGGGGGGAAGTTTATTGCGTACAATGATTTTGTAAAATTTGGTTATTAAACTGCAGAAAGCAAGATTTCATATCTTTTGAATTTGTTTAAGTTAACTTTTGTATGTGAAAATCCCTAATTAAATATTCAAATGTTCCCCTTCTTATGCAGGATGAAAAGGTTTCACCATTGAAGTGATGTTGTCTCTTTAACAGGGTCATTTTGGAAAGGATGCAGAGTGGACTGAGTGACCTAAACCATTGCTTACCGTGCATTTAGCGCATTTGAATGTCACATTTTTGGGAAATTTGACAATCAAAATGCCATCTTCAGGTAGCACGCAGTCCCCAGAGGACACCAAGTGCCTCCTGTCTCCAGAAAAGACAAAAGGGAAAGGCTCATATCATTTAGGTCCTCTCTTTGCTCATCGGACTGAGAAGATCGTGATCACTCGCAGCGACAGTGTGCCTGAAGAGAATGTATTAAAAATCACTATCACCGAGACAACCGTTCTTGAGTCGGACTTGGGGGTCTGCAATACTCGAGCACTCATCTACCTCACTTTGTGGTTTTTCTTTAGCTTCTGTACACTGTTTCTCAACAAATACATACTCACCTTACTGGAAGGAGAACCAAGCATGTTAGGTAAGATCTTCTACCTTGATTACCTAGAGATTCATACTATGTGTTTTGCTGTTTTACCAGAGTAACCGTGTCTTTGTTCCCGTCCCTACTTTTCCCATTACTGGGATTGTCTTAATTGTTATTGCATTATCATTACTACAACTAATGCATTCTACCTTTTTAATGGACGCTTATATGTTTTGGCAAACTTTTGAAGGTGAGATTAGGACAAGTTAGTTATATTTATTTTGCATCCAGCTGAGTTAAACTATTTCAGAATGAATACCTATAAAATAATGCAAATCTAAACCTATATAAAACCTCAGTATAAGCATTTTCAGATTTAAAAATAAAAAAACCAAAACATCTAATGAGACCCACATCTTAAAAGGAAAAAATAAACAGTCGAAAATATCTTTTTAACAATTACATAAAATATGTAATCCAAAACAGACTATATAAAATGCATCGGTATCAATAAATAATGATTAACTATTACAAAAAAAAAAATAATTCCGTACACTGTAAACTACTTCACTAAGCTGCAGTGGTTATGGTGCCGGAATACCCTGGCACGGCCCTCCCCCCATTGTAAAGAGTTAAGCCATTTAAGAATTGTTTGGCTTCTTACCTGGGGTCTGCTGGACAATACTTGCTGTCTCCACTGCAAGCCAGAAGCTCTGGTCACTAAGCTAAGACCGGTGGTGCAAGGCTTAGCTCATTGGATGAGAAGATCAGCTGACACTCTCAGCCAATGCACTAGCTCAAAGCTGCAGAGCTTAGCTCATGAAAGTTAACCAAAGCTTCTGAGCATGATCTTCCAATTCCCACTAAGCTGTAGAGGAGGCAGGGAGCAGAATCCAATAAACCCAGGTAAGTAGCCAAACCATTCTAAAAAAAAATAAATGACTGCATACAATGGGGAAGAGAGGGGGTGGGACCAAGCACTCCTGTTACCATAACCGCCAACGCTATTTTGGAAGTGTTTATATCTGCAATGCATAATATTATCATAAATACAATTAATATATACGTTCTTGTGCTTTATTTAACCCCCTTCACTACAAAGTGATTTGCAAAACATTGCATCATCTCTGTATATCCCCATGTATATTAATTTGTATATGTTGTCCTATTACCATAACATTACCCAATCTATATCACCCGCATATTGCAGCCATGTTGCATGTTTGGACACGCACACACTGGTGCATACAGACACACATGGACAGATACAGACATACAGATTGTTTATCTGGATGTTTGCATGTCTAACTGGTTTTGTCAGGCATCATGTATCTGTATATGTGCCTGTGAGTTTGTTTCTGGCAATGAGTATCATTGTGTGTGTATATCTGGGACACTGTCTGGAATGCATCTGTGTCTGTGACCACAAGGGAGCATCGGCATTAATTTTTTTTAATTGCAATGTCCAGTAAGGTCAAATAGTTCTTTAAATTAACCTCATCCTGAAAAAGGATTTTGAAGAATTTAGGATAGTAGTAAAGTCTGCTATATAGGCTAATATGCTCTTTTATTGATATTTCAATATCAGGTGCTGTGCAAATGTTGACCACTACCTTTATTGGTTGCATCAAGATGTTCATTCCCTGCTGTCTGTACCAGCACAAACCACGTCTTACCTACCCTTCAAACTTCCTCATGATTATGCTTTTTGTGGGTATAATGAGGTGAGTGCACTTAACGCAGAGCACGTGTTTTTCATGCCACTCATGATGTTGGGGAAACTTGTACTGATAAACTCTATAGGTCACTGAAAGGTATTAAGAATATTATGCGATTTATTGTGGTATCACACAATAAATGAAGTCTTAGGCAATGGCGTACACACGATCCATCTTGCCCCGGTGCAAAAATTGATCCTTGGGCCCCCTTGTCCCCCCCATTTACTCTGCGTGGGCCTGGACCGCAATACATGGCTGCGGGCACCTGGTCGCAGGGCTGCGACCCCTGCGAACGTGGTATGTACGCCACTGCATGCAAATACACTTAAAGGACCACCATAGGCACTCAGATCACTTCAGCTCAATGAAGTGGTCTGGGTACCAGGTCCCTCTAGTTTTAACCCTGCAGCTGAAAACATAGCAGTTTCAGAGAAACTGCTATGTTTTTTACTGAGGGTTAATCCAGCTGTCTCATTGACAGCCGCTGGAGGTGCTTCCGTGATTCTCACTGTGAGAAGACGCTGGACGTCCATAGGAAAGCGTAGATAGGTAGTACAAGCGCTTTTGTATGTGCTATTAAATATGAATAATACCAGACAAATATGATTGGGCTGCTATATCACCGTGATTATCTTTTTATCATAGGAAAAGTGAAAAAAGTGGAAAATATCGGTGTAGCGCTCTATAATAGTGGATCTCCCGGAATGAGTAAAAAAGACTTAGCTATACCTTGATGGGTTGTTTGTATTTATAGCTAGTCCCAATATATCCAGGTAAACCTTAAATCAAAAACATAAATGTACAAAACATAGTGTAATCTGTATACCAAATGTAAATAGAAATAAAGTACATAGGTATCTAACTCACACTTTATTGAGCTGATATACTAGCTCAAGTATCTGCGCCTTAGGGTCCGAAAAGGAGGGGAAGGGTCGCCTTTACGGACCCTAAGGCGCAGATACTTGAGCTAGTATATCAGCTCAATAAAGTGTGAGTTAGATACCTATGTACTTTATTTCTATTTACATTTGGTATACAGATTACACTATGTTTTGTACATTTATGTTTTTGATTTAAGGTTTACCTGGATATATTGGGACTAGCTATAAATACAAACAACCCATCAAGGTATAGCTAAGTCCATAGGAAAGCGTTGAGTAATGCTTTCCTATGGGCGGTATGAATGCGCGGCGCATGCACATTCAGAGCTGAGAGGCAGATCGGGGTCGAGAGATCCCCAGCGCCAAGGGAGCCCGGCGCTGGAGAAAAGTAAGTGCTGAAAGGGTTTTAACCACACACACACACACACACACACTCTCTCTCACAAACAGACGCATACACACTAGCTAACAGACACACACATTTACTGACAGACACACTCAGTGACAGACATACATACTCTCAATGAGAAACATACACTAACAGGCACACACAAACTAACACTCTCAGTAACAGACACACACAGTAACAAACTCACTGACACACACTAACACACACACACTGACCCTCACTAGCAGACACACACTCCATAACACACACACACACACACACAAAAACTAACACTCACTAACACATAACTAACACACATATAGACACACACTCATATTTATTTATTTATTTTTATATATAATCCCCCAGCCTCCCTACCTTTTGGAGTGCTGAGGGGATTCCCTGGGGTCCAGTGGGGCTGCCTGGCCAGCCGGTCCTGCAGGCGGCGAGGGAGCATTCTCCCCTGAGCGCTCTCTGCCCAGCTCCCTCGCGCGCCACTTACTGATGCTGGAGACGGAGTGATGTCATATTCCGGCCCCGGCATCAGTGCGGTGTGCGCGAGGGAGCTGGGAGAATGCTCCCTCGCGTGCGCGCCCGCCCAGTGACAGCACTGCCAGCCTCTGGGGGGCCTGAGGTGGCCAGCTCCTGGGCTACGCAGGAGAAGAGGCTGGCAAACTGGTGTACATACCCGGTCGCAGCTGCGACTGCGGTATGTACGCCAGGGGTCTTAGGGATGGTGATAACTTTGGAAACATATCATCCATTAAACATACAAGAACTAGAAGTATCCATCTTTCCCTGCAAAGCAATGCTAGATATGGCCACTTTTGATCATCACTTTTTATATACCTCTTAAAGGGACACTATAGTCACCAGAACAACTACAGCTTGTTGTATTTGTTCTGGTGAGTATAAGCCCTTCAGGCTTTTTGCTGTTAACACTGTCTTCTCCGAGAAAATGCATTGTTTACATTACAGCCTAGTGATAACTCCCCTAGCCACTCCTTAGATGGCTGCTAGAGGTGCTTCCTGGAGCAGTGCTGCACTTTCCTCATAGAGATGCATTTCCTCTATGAGGAGATGCTGATTGGCCAGGTCTGTGTTTGACTGGTGCTGACTCTGCCTCTGATCTGCCTCCTTGACAGTCTCAGCCAATCCTATGGGGAAGCATTGTAATTGGCTCAGAACAACACCTCTGCAAATGTCAGCAGGCAGGTCAGGGGCAGAGGCAGCAGTTTCAGACTTGAATACAAGTAAGATTTTACTATATTTAGGGGGTGGGGGGCTAGATGGTGTTTTTAACACTATAGGGTTGGTAATTCATGTTTTGTGTTCCTAACCCTATAATGTTCCTTTAACTTCACATATCTGTTTTTCTGTCCCATCATGGAGACAGAACAAGTCAGTCTCATAAAAGAATGTGGGCCCAGTGTCTCTACATCTATCTATAGTTCTCATTTTTTAGGCTGACAGGCAGTATGCCTAGTTGCCCATCACTCCACTCCCCAGACAGATTTCTCACTCTGAGCCAAGCTCATTGGAGACAGGCCAGGGCACAGTGTGTTGCAATTAATATCTTTATTTTAATAAGCTATTTATATCACTCTCACTGTTGCAATTAGTAGAAATTAGTAGAAATTCTCAAGTATGCAGTGACATGCACCAGGGGTCATGTAGGTTAACTATTGGTAAGATTACTTTAAGTGCCTTATTTTGGGTGAATTTTGTACATAGAAGTGTGTGGATTCCTAGTGTTTCTTACTAGGTTCCCTTAAATAATTCATGTGGCAGTGTAGTTATGAGTGTGGTGTAATTATATATGGTTTACTTTAGTTTATTTGTTTTTGTGTTTTTTTTCCACCAGGTTCGCAACTGTGGTGCTAGGACTTGTGAGCTTAAAGAATGTGGCGGTTTCTTTTGCTGAAACAGTTAAAAGCTCAGCCCCCATATTTACTGTCATAATGTCAAGACTTATATTGGGAGAGTACACTGGTAAGGATTGATTAATTGTTTATTATCTATGACTTGCTGGAAGTGGTCTGTGCCATGCTGTACAATTATTATGTAAACTTAATCCATGGTTATGTATACAGCTGACTATTAATTTTATGACTGGTACACAGATTCATCTCAGATTGCAACATGCAATGAGACTCAAGTGTCACCTGTTTTTAATTAAAGGACCACTCTCGGCACCCAGACCACTTCAGCTTAATGAAGTGGTCTGGGTGCCAGGTCCTTCTAGGGTTAACCCATTTTTTCATAAACATAGCAGTTTCTGAGAAACAGCTATGTTTATGAATGGGTTAAGCCTTCCCCTATTTCCTCTAGTGGCTGTCTCATTGACAGCCGCTAGAGGTGCTTGCGTGCTTCTCACTGTGAAAATCACAGTGAGAGCACGCCAGCGTCCATAGGAAAGCATTATGAATGCTTTCCTATGTGTCCGGCTGAATGCGCGCGCAGCCAGCCGACGGGGGGGAGGAGGAGGAGAAGAGGAGGATCGGAGGAGGAGAAGAGGAGGATCGGAGGAGGAGAGCTCTCTGCCCAGCGCTGGAAAAAGGTAAGTTTTAACCCGTTTCCCCTTTCTAGAGCCGGGCGGGAGGGGGACCCTGAGGGTGGGGGCACCCTCAGGGCACTATAGTGCCAGGAAAATGAGTATGTTTTCCTGGCACTATAGTGGTCCTTTAAAGGAACAATCCAGTGTTATCTATGAATACATTTATGTATATCACTGGAGCGTTCTACTGCAATTTTAGACTACTTTCCTGCCTTCCTGAAAAAAAGGGCTACTTACTAGTAATTCTAGCAGTGAGACAGTCCTCTCCCTGCCACTCTGCTTCACCCGTCGGGAATTCATCACTACCGATGATATACCAGCCAATAGAAAGCTCCTCATTCAGAAGCATTATGATGAAAGAAGCTTGCATGGCAATCGCTGTGCTATGTCTGCTTTGCATGCATGGCAATCGCTGCGCTGTGTCTGAATTCAATGCTGCATAAAGGCACAAAGCAATTGAGTAGACCACCGTAATTGACAGCTGGGAAGGTACATCCCTGCAATAGTATGGGGCACTTCCTCGGCATGGTAACGCAGGTTAGGGGTTTTTTGTTTGTTTTTTTTCCTTTCCTTTCCTTTTCCTTATTATTTCTTTTTTTCTCTGGGGTGGGAGGACTGTGCTAGTATGGGTTACTCTAACAAAACAGTGTTTTATTAAAACTCTGTTTTTTTTGGCTGGAATAACCCTTTAACATAATTAAGGAAGATGCTTATGAGCTACATTTCCATGATATTCATTCTTTCAGGTATCATAGTTATCTATGTTATAGAGGATAAAATATATATATATATATATATTTTTTTTTTTATCAGGGGAAACCAACTAACATCTGCCCAGCCGTTACTGAATCTCATTTCCCATTATTTTCTCATACCCATTGGCCATCCAGCAGCAGGCTGAGGATCATGGGATTTGTAATTCAGCAAAATCCAAAGAGCTGTCAGTTGCCCTGCTTTGATCCTTTGATACATTGTGCATGCAAATATTGATAACCTTTGTTCTTTCCCTATAGGATTGATGGTGAACCTGTCTCTTCTTCCTGTCATGGCTGGTTTGGCTCTCTGCACTGCTACTGAAATCAGTTTTAATTTACTGGGCTTCTCTGCTGCTCTGTCCACAAATATCATGGACTGGTGAGATTACAGTGAGGTTTGGGAGGGGAATGAATGACGTGTAGATCGCAAATGTGGTTCAAAGTTCGAAAAGTGAAGCAATCAGCTTCATTCCATTCCATTGGTTTTAGTGGTGATTGCTCAAGAGGTGAGAGGTGACTAGCCCTTATATCTCCATGAGCTTTGGAATTTAGTCATTTTCTGTTTTGTTAATCACATATCGGCGCTCTATCTTGCTTAGCCAGCAACTTGCCTAACTTACTGTTAGAAGAAAAAATTAGAATATATGAGTTTAGACACTACTGCAGGACTTTACATTTATTCCCATAATGTGAGTTTTCACTCCGTACTAATACTCTCCATGAAGTCATTACCTGTTATGATGTAACTCTTAATGGAGTATAAGGAAGAACTCACCTTTACAAGCCTATATTAACAGGATACTGCTGAAATTGCCTTGCAGGTTACTCTAAACACCATAACTACCCCCATGTCATTGAAGTTGTTATGGTGCAAATACCCTGCCCCAGCCTGTCTTTTTAAAAATGTCGGGACTGCCACCGTAGGCTGTCAGTCAGCCAACTGGAATACTTTCTTTTAGGCTTGGTTTCAGCACACACAGCATTATAACCCCAAACACATTGCAGTGTACCCATGACTGGGTGAGTTATACACATTGGCAAAGCTCCTGCTGTCTGGATCTTAGGCAATTTAACTCTCTAACTCCATGGTAAAGGAAAAACATAAATGGGTTCTGGTTTTAACTTCTGCCCTTAGTAGGTGGAGTGATCAGAGAAAGACAAATGCAAACCGCTCTGTTGAGAATTTTATGTCTCATCAAATTGATTGCAAGTAATTGTCTGCCTCTGCTGGACTGCAACTCCTATTATACTCAGTGAGCTACAGTGTTTGTCTGAAGAATTTTATCTTCATATAACAAGCCAGCATTTTAATGGGCAGATAAGGAGTATTACTATAAATTGACCCTTGAACTTATTTTTGGGGAAGGGGTGGGGGCATGGGCTTTCTTGGTGTTACCAAAGCTTTGTTAATTCTTCCTCAGTTTCCAGAATAATTGCAGTGTGCTAAATGGTGCATTTGTGGCTCACTTGTTGAGGACTTTTCTCTAATGTCCCAAGAAGGTAGGAACCACACCAAATTCAGGACTGTTGAGGGGTGCAGGGTTTTTTTATTTTTTTGCATCAAATCTGCTTTATCCAATTTCACATAACCTGTTTTCTCTCTTTCTCTCCCCTCAGTTTGCAGAATGTCTTTTCCAAGAAGCTGCTCAGTGGAGATAAATATAGATTTTCGTAAGTATACTTCTCATTGCCAGAACCAGAAATTTAAAAGCCACAAAGCAAAATGTCATGTGTTGTCCCCACCCTCCAAATTATATGTAAAATGACATACATCCACTTAGCCAGTTTTTATAGTAATATGAGTAACTGCAGCTAGTTTAAAAAAAAATAAAAAGCCTATAAACTGAGGGGAAGGATTTTTTTCTTTGGTTTTGTGGGGGACAGGGGTTCTATTTACCCAATTTTCAAATAATTACATGCGTAGAGAACAAATAGTGCAAAAGATGGATATGTGAAAGCCCTATGATCAGCGGTGGCTGGTGTTAAGAAACTTTTGTCTTTTGTTTTGTTTTGTTTTTTTTATCTTCATTTACGAAGTATCCAACCCCTGACCAATAACTGAATAATTGAATTTATATGAAAAGCAAAATGTGTTGGTACAGGTACAAATTGAAAATGTTCCATGATTCCTCATGCCCAGCAGAAGACCATATTTGTACGTGCCCAGCATGCATGTATGTGCATAGCATCATGGACAGATGTTGGCGATCATAGTAATGTGCAGGTGAAATTGATTTTATACATTCCTCACTCCAGAAAACACTTCAGTAAGTTTACCCCTGTGAGAAAACATTTATTTGTAACCAATTTAGGAGACTTTTCCAGTTTGAATGGTTTGATCGTTCCATTCATATGGGGTAAGGTACTTCTTGGGCCTTTCACATGATTTGTATGACTGGCCCATGTGCATTTATTCTGTTAGGATTAACCCTTGTACTCCCACTTGATATTCAATCTGCAATAGTGAACTTCAATAAACTGATGTTAATATGCTTCCTGATATACAGTTTACTTTATTTGGGTGTTTGTCTCCACAGACCACCAGAGCTCCAGTTTTACACCAGTGCTGCTGCAGTGATCATGCTAATCCCTACGTGGATATTTTTCATGGTAATGGATATTCGCTTTCTATTCAAGCAGTTATATGGCTGTCTTCAGCATGCTCACATTGACTAGATTACCTGCAATTGTTTCTGTGTGACAGAAACTCAAGTCATCCAAATCCTAAATGTGTGAGGGGCATTTCCAACCATTTCAAGGTTAAAAACAAAATATATTTATACCAAAACAATGGACACAATGAATCACTCAGACCATAAAGCCCATTCAAAGGTGCAGAACATTTCTACGTATGTATATAATGCATTTTATCGCAGAGAGGGTCACTGCCAATAGTTTATTCTTGCATGCAGAGTTTTTTGTTTATCCTATAATTTGAATCCTAAATATATTATGATTGGCTGAAAGCACCAAGCGGAATTAACCTATGATTTCAAACACATTGATGTCACCTTTCAACTCTCTTTACCTGCTTTCCCCTAAATTTATTAAAGGACCGCTATAGTGCCAGGAAAACATACTCGTTTTCCTGGCACTTTAGTGCCCTGAGGGTGCCCCCACCCTCAGGGTCCCCCTCCCGCCAGGCTCTAGGGGGAGGAAGGGGTTAAACTTACCTCTTTCTCTAGAACCGGGCGGGGTGCTCTCTTCCTCCCTCTTCTTCCGTCAACGGCTGAATGCGCATGAGCGGCAAGAGCCGCGCGCGCATTCAGCCAGTCCATAGGAAAGCATTCTCAATTCTTTCCTATGGATGCTGGCGTCTTCTCACTGTGAAAATCTCAGTGAGAAGCGCGGAAGCCCTCTAGCAGCTGTCAATGAGACAGCCACTAGAGGCTCTATTAACCCATATGTAAACATAGCTGTTTCTCTGAAACGGCTATGTTTACAGAAAAAAGGGTTAATCCTTGCTGGACCAGGCACCCAGACCACTTCATTAAGTTGAAGTGGTCTGGGTGCCTATAGTGGTCCTTTAAAGAAAAAAGGGAATTGGGGGCACACGCGGAACATTCATCTTACAGGAATGGTACTGCTGAAGGGACTAAGGAACAACAAACCAAAAAAAAAAAAGTTTTATCAATATGGCCATATGATGGAATCGAATCCCAACATTTGTTTGCGGACATAGGTGATATTAAGTAGCCTTATAAAGTTTTAAAAAGTTTATGTGCGCCGTTCCTTGGTCAATATATTTTCCTAAATTTATGGTATCTTGCAGTAATAAAACACATAACTGGCAAGTACCATGGCATATTCACGTGCATTTTTACTTCTGTCTAAGAACAAATTTCATGTAAAGACTTTACCAACTCATGAAGAAATATGGCTAATCATTTTACTCACAGTTGCGTATAAGCAGACTATGGAACCATGGCTATTTTGTGCTATATCTCCCAGAATGCTTAGCTGCTCTCTGGTTAGTTCAGAATGCATGCCAATTCCATTCCACTATGGAAAATGGTGATTTAGCTTACTGTGTCAGATTAATTCACTTTCATTCCTGGAGGACAAAATGCAGATTATGTTAAATAGATTATTGAATGCCTATAAAGAGGTTCAGTTTATTTAATTCAGTGTTTTTTAAACCTTGTTTAGTTCATGATGTTTAAGACAAGCCCTTAGTTGAGCAAGGGATATTGCTAGAGCACATTCAAGATGTTTCTGTTAATAGAATTACTTGATAAATTATGATTTTGATGAAATGTGTAATCATTATTTTCTCAAACATATTCATGTATGTAGTTATGTTCTCTGCTGATATAGGCTTGGTAAATGTATGTACCCCTATCTTAGCTACTAAAACCCCTTAATTTGCATTGTTCTCCCCCAAAGACAATGGTTTAAAAGAAATTGACAGGTTGATTGTAAATGTCTGTAACAGATTCTTTGTTTAACATAGGACATGCCAGTGATTGGTAAAAGCGCCAAAAGCTTCAATTACAATTGGGATATCATTGTGCTCCTCCTTATTGATGGTGTTTTATTCCACCTACAAAGTGTCACGGCATACGCCCTCATGGGAAAAATCTCACCGGTGACATTCAGGTAAATGGGATTTTTTTTTACATTTACCTTCAGTGTGCAAGGATCATTGGCTGTGAGAATCTGTGGTTGAGTTTTGGAAAGCTGTATCTGTGCGAGCAAATCACATATTAGACTTGTAACATTACAATCTGTTAAAATTAAGTTGAAGATTCACGTATAGTATGGGAGGATTTTACACATAGGGTTAGCTACTTTTATACAAACAGTATAGTCACTGTATAAAAATATGCTTTTTGGCTATATTTTTCTATTACCATTTAAAACACCAATACAGAGCTATTTACAGCTGTGCTTAATTGTACCTAGATACAGCTTATACCCTTTTAAACAATAATTGAAGAACAGTAGTTCATGTAAATGATATAATCTTTATTTCTGCCAACAACCGTATGTTACATTGTCACTTCCCTGTAAACAGATCCACTGATAAGTGTGTGTCTGAGAATGTACAAAAAAAAACTGAGAGATAAATATGTGTTATGTGTCTAGTTATCTATGTGTTGTTTTTTTGGTTAAGTTGTCGTGAGGCTACTATTGGTTTAGGCAGCAGTTTTATTTGTCGTCTTTGATGAAAATAATTGCTCCAAAGTACTGCCCCACATGTTCCATAAACCCACTATTAGTTGTCTTTAATGGAGTTCTTACTGGTCAGTTTAACATTTTAGAATCTTGATGTACCAATAGAAACGTAATAGGTATCTTTCTTATGTTTGGAGGAAAATATCAGTATCTAACCTAAGTCTTGTTATCATTGGTTGCCTCTGTGGTGTCCCAGAAAATGACTGAATAGTTAAATTTAGCTCTAAACTAGATTGTCACAAATACAGGACTGTGATAACTTACATGCTTTAGTTGAGTGACTTAGCGTGATGGCTAAGTTGGCTAACACACAAAGTCAGGACGTCCGGGTATCCAATAAGTACAAAAACAACAACAAAAAAGACTAGCCAGCTCCATACTGTGATTATATTATTTAGCTCCCTAACATAACAAGTATTTTGGCATTATAATATATCAGCAAATATTATCATTGCAGCTTTTATTGCTTTGTTCGTTCATATATGGTGGTATGGGAGATCTAAAAATTAATCTTTTTTTAAAATCGTAGTGGAAATATAGGACAGATTTCTAACACTTGAGTTATCACCATGAGAAAATGACTGCTCCACCTTTTAGAATGCACTTTGGTCAGATCTTCTTTATGCATAACTTTTATTGTATGCGTTGATTATTGTGGTCTTTTCTATAAATATCTGTTCTGATTGTTTCTTGTCTGTCTTTTTGGTTGTATAATTATACATACAACCACAGAGCCTATTAAAAGTGAAATGACACTTCTCTAGACTACTCTATTGGACACAACATTGAAAATCTTTGAAAATGAACTATAACTTGTGTTATGACAACATAATCCACTTCAGAAAAAGGTTAGCGCTGTCAACAATGGTTCACAGTGAGCCGTTCAGTTCCAGTATAGAAATAAATACAGCAGTGCGGATTCATACATTTAAATTTATTTTTCAGACGTCACAAACACATATTTGTCAAATAGAAGGAATAAGCAAACATAATAATAAAAAAAAATTAATTAGAAAAATATAACCAATTCAGAGATTTGACAGCCCTCCTTTCATAGCTTTCCCCTTGCATATTTGTTCTAACAGTGACTGACAATGTAGAATTTAGTCTAATTGTGAAGTCTTGATATACTGTATTGTTGATGTCTTGGTATAACAGATGGAACCATTTTTTAAAATTTATTTATTTTTTTTGTCTTTGCAGCGTTGCCAGTACCGTGAAGCATGCTCTGTCTATTTGGCTCAGTATTATTGTGTTTGATAATAAGATTACCATCCTTTCTGCCATTGGGACGGTTTTTGTCATCATTGGGGTAATGCTTTATAACAAGGCCAGGCAGCACCAACGAGAATCTTTTCGCACATTAAGTGCCCAGACAGCCATTGAGGGCTCTGAGCAGTTAAAAGGACAGGATCAGAAATCTCATGGGAAATAACATTTACACCATTACCACTGCCTATTAATCCTGCCATTGAAATCTGATTTCCGCGCTAGCAGAGAATTAACAACAAAGTGTCTGTCTGCTTTCCAGGGCACGGTAAATTGGAGCTTGCAGTACTATGAAGTGTTGAATCCAATTAGGTTTCTCCTTGCATCATAACCCATATCCAATTATGAGTCATGTCCAAATCCCGATGCTCTGTAGCCCTGTGGACTGTACTAGTAATTGTTTACAACAGGATTTCGGAGACCACTTCCACCCACGAAGTACAAATGCACTTTTCAGGAGCTAAGAAGCTGTCAAATTTAAAAGGGAATTTATATATTTTTTTCTTCTTTTTACAGCATTTATGCCTGGAAAGAAAGGTTTAAAAAAAAAACAAAAAAAAACTTTGAACTTGTTTGCAAGGTTGGAATTACCATTATGCCTCTTACTGTAAATGTCAATGCAAAATTAGGACTGACTGTAAAGTCCTATTTATGTACCGGGACCATCCATCTATATGTTCTCTGCTAAGGAAAAGACACATTTTTTTGATTAATGAAATGTTCTGAAAAAAGCTATTAATATTTTATTGGTGTGATGTCATCCTCTCCTGTCACAGATTCAGTTGCTCAGTTACATCCATTTACCTTTTTGTTCTCATTTATACCAGAAACATGTTATCAGAGAAGTGCCTACTTCAGATGATCAGGGTCAGGCAGTAAAGTTCTGCAGTAACAGCAAGAGGACGTTGTAATCATGAAAAGGATCTAGAGTCCCTTACTATCTATTTACATATAGAAATAATTGCTCCCTACAGGTAGCAGTAAGTGGATTTAGGCAACCTTCATGATTCGGTGTGAAGCATTGGGGTTTTCCATACAGAGAATAAAATAACGTATCTTTAAAAGTATATGCCATTCTATCCACATGTTAAAGGAGCATTATAGGGTCAGAAACACAAGCATATATTCCTGACCCTATAGCGTTAACACCACCATTTAGGTGGCTTGCCCCATTAACACTCTTAAAAGGTAATAAAACTTACCTTATTTCCGACCCTGAACCGCCTCCTTGCTGACATAATCAGATTTTCTGATTTTTAGCCAATCGAATGATTTCCCATAGGAAATCAGCAAGGAGGGGGGGCGACGGCAAGGCAAAACTCTGGATTGGCCAATTAGCACCTTCTTATAGAGATGCATTGAATCGGTGCATCTCTATGAGTAAAACTCAACAGCTCTTCATGGGGCAGCTCTGCCCCATGAAGCATCTCTAGTAGCCATCTGAGTGGCTGCCAGTGGAGGTATCCCTAGGGGGGCAATGTAAACACTGCCTTTTCTCTGAAAAGACAGTGTTTACTGCAAAAAGCCTGAAGGGAATGATTATATTCACCAGAACAAATTCAATAAGCTGTTGTTGTTCTGGTGACTATATTGTCCCTTTGAGTGTATATTGTTTCAACAGCTTCTACCCAAGAAGCAAAAGTTAACACTAAAAATAAAACAGTCTAGTGGTTTTTATATCCCTTGCGATGAGTATATCCAGTATAACCAGCCATAATTTATATTTTTATACATTTTTTTTTTTTTTATTCTTTATTTTTGCAGTGCATGTATAATTGACAAACAGTTGTCTGCATCAAATATCGGTATCATACAAGATTTTGTAACTAAGGTTCTTGTGGTTTAAGGTAGTTTGTCTGCACCATTTTATGTGTGTTGTTATCAGAGAGTAGTCTATCAAGGTCAGTCGTGGTGTAGCTTACGAGAGTTGTATATTCGTGTGGGTGAGTGGTGATCCGAGGGACATGGCTTGGAGTGCTGGTATGCGGGCTGTAAAGTAGCAGGACATATGGCATAGTTCTCATAGGTATTGTGGCGTTGTTTCTCATGGCCCCTTTCTCTGAGTGATGTGCCCCCTACCTTGGCGGTAATGGGGGGGGGGGTGTATTTCTCACCTGGGTCGGTAGAGGTGTGTATTGTCCCGATCTGTTAGTCGTGGTCTGCGGTCAGTGTTATGCTGTATCTGGTAGTGTGCTCTCAGTGTGTGTGTGTGTGCATAATCATAACGATAAACAGCAGACCCCTAACGATAAACAGGATTTTAAACAGAAAAGAGCAATTCAACTTTTTGGTCATCAAGGATGCCATGTGTCCAATTTCTCACGGCCGGTGTATCGGCAGGAGTCCCGTTCAGGGGTTGGGCAATCAAGTCCCATGTGTATTTGGGCCTCTGGGCACGAAGGGTTTCGATGTTGGCTGGGTCCCATCTGCTACTGGAGGTTCTGGCAGATGCTCCTGTGCCCAGAGCTGGTAGGAACGTCTGTGAGTCTGAGTGGAGTGTGTGTAGCTCCATTATGTGTCGCCACTAGGGATCCCATCGTTCCCCATCTGTAGGGCATCCCTGAGGACTGGAGGTGAGCTGTGACGGGTCCCATGGATCTGCGCCACTGCAGGGTCGTTTTGGAGAGGTCTTGAAAAAAGTTCAGGTGTGTGCCTTCGAACTGCAGGGGCGTTTTGCCTCGTAGAGCCGACATAATGTGAGTTCTGTCAGAAAGGGAGGTGCAGCGTATGATAACATCTCTCGGTGTGTTGGGAGAGGGGTTCGCTGCATTGGTGAGGCGGTATATGCCTGCTAAGGCGATTTTCTTAGCCACCGCGGGTGGCAGGATGGACGCCAGCAGCATCCGGGTGTAATGAGGTAGTTCTTCTGCCGTTGTGTCGGCCGGTACGCCCCGTATCTTTATAGTGTTGTGGCGTTGTTGGTCCTCTAGGGTGGTCACCCTCTGGGAGATATGGAGCTGTTGAGTGTGGAGTCGGTTTACCGATCTGCCCAGGGAGATCACTGTGGATTGGGTTGATTTGAGGTCGTCCTCTGCTGCTTTTATGCGAGTGGTGTTAGCTTGGATCTCTTTCCTGAGCAGTGCCCTGTCCACCTCCATCATCTTGCGTAATTCCGAGAAGAGCATTTTTAGCTCGCCCTTGGTGGTCGGGGCTGAGCTGTCGGTTAGTTGTAGGCTCATGGGTTGCTCAGATGGTGGAGGGGATGAGGTGTCCCCGGTAGTATTTTTATACATTTTATGGATACATCATGTGCTTACTTTTTATTTTACTTGTTGGGAAAATAGTTCACTGCCAGTCTATACCTTTTTGTTTGGCCAGGTTAAAAACATTTAAAGAGACATTCCGCACACCTCTTATTTCATTTTACAAAAAAGTGCAGATTTCAGTATAAATTAACCTTGTTACACGCCTCTGGCTGTCAGACAACCAATCATGTTACTACCTGGAGGTTTAGCTCAGTGGAGCTAAACACAAGAGGATGACTATTGTCCAGAGCACTTGTCTTGCAAAAACTTCTCATTGAGCTGCATTGAAGAGTCAATGTTTGCACAGCCACAGAAAGTCTGGGCTGGGGAAGAAGAAAGGTCTTGCAAAGGCTGCAGACAAGAGATCTGCAGATTTTGCAAGCTGTTTCTAGGTATATGCAAAATAAAAACAATGCATGCTTGTTTTCATTGGGGGTATATCTGAATAAACATAAATTATTTAACACCTAAATGGAAGAGAATTGAATAGTGAGACTGCAGGAACATGATCTATGCTCCAAAATGGCTTCATTATGCTAAAGTTGTTTTGGTGACTGTATTGTCCCTTTAATGTTGTGATGGGGTTAATTGTGGCTGTCTTGTTAAGAAATCTTCTAATAGTTCTATCACAAGTTTTTAATCATGGAAGAAATGCTAACCATATCTAATTTTAATTATCTGATTATATTTATCATTTGACTTGTTCCTTTTATGTATTTACACATGCACTAAATCCTGTTTTTGACAGGCATCAATTAACAAAAAAAGCAAGGAGGGACCCTATCTTACTATGATATACAACCTGTACATTTTGTGAAACAGTTGTTACGCTTTTGTCCATGTTGTGGATGTACTTGTACAAGTGTTGGCAGTGTAACTGAGATTATGGAAAATGTTCAAACGTGTTTTTTTTTTTTTTTGTTTGTTTGTTTTTACATTTGTAAAATTGTGTGTGTGTGTGTGTGTGTATGTATGTATGTGTGTGTGTATATATATATATATATATATATATATATATATATATATATATATTTTATGTGAATCTGTCATTTTGATTTGCTTTTGAAGCTCTTTATATACGTCCTTTCGTTCTGTCTAGCATTCCAACACAACCATTCTCACCATGGCTTCTGTAAAACTCAAACTTTGGTCCTCTTACTATGCAGCACCAGTGTCCCTGCTTGTGGATACTTCCTCTATTAGGGTAATCTCCTAATGACAACAATATTCTGGATTCATTGCTAGCCCATCATTGTCAGACAGGAGTGACTTCAGTCATTCTATGTCTGTATTTTCCCAGCAAGGAGTTACTCTGTGACAGAGTGCAGGAGAATATTCTGTTTTTTTGTTTTTTGCTTAATATATTCCTGTTTTCCTGGACTGTTTTACTGAAAGATCCAACCATTGATACAGCAGTCAATCAATATGAAGGTTAACCTTATACATTCCATATGTGTTGACAATAATTCCCATCATGCCTCCACAGCCATATGGAAAATGTCATTCATAGCATTTGCAGTTCAATAAGTTAGAAATCTCATGTGTGTTATAAGCAATCCATCCCATTTGAATTCTAAGCTAGCACTGGGGGGGGCGGAGTGTAAGTATTTGTTCCTAATTCTATAATACAGAAGGTTAAGAACAAACTTAGAATTAACGATTAAAAAGAATGAATTAGGGTGGGGGATTATACATACATAGATACATATATATTTATATGTACTAACAAAAACTGGTGATTTGAGTAAAATGTACCTAATTTTAACAACCACCGTGTTGTTATTAATGATGTTGCCAAAGTAATTTATCCTTTAAACCTGTGGATTATACAGAAATATCTATTTTTATGAACTGTGGTAATATCCCTTTTGTGATAATCGTGTGTCTGAACTGTGGTCTTAAAATATATTTTATTGTTGTGTTGTGTAGCTGTATATTTTTATGTAGCATGTGTTATGTTGCAGTTTAAAAACAATGGTAATAATAGAACAAAAGGTCATTTTGTAACTTTTACAGGATATTTATGTTAAAATGTCCATACAATGACAAAAGCAAAGATTGCTATGTGTAAGCGGGCTTTCTCCCTCCCCCCACTAACCCCCAGCAGGCTTGCAAGATGCTACTGTTAACAAAAAAACACTATGTTAAATTGGCATTTAAGCAAAATTTTAGATTGTTCGTGGCATGTAGAAAGTATATATATTGTCATGTAAGGATAATAAAATGCCACCCATACATTTTGCTAGCCAACGTAGAGATTGCATATTATTCTATCATTAAATATATGCAGTTCTAGGGGGGAGAGTTATCAAAATGGCTTGAACTGAAAATGGTGCAAAGTTCTAAAAGCAAATCACCCACCATGGAAACAGAATCAGCAGGCACATTCCTTTTACAACGTTATGCCTTTTTTCAGAACACAAACTTCCCTTAATGTCTTCAGTTTATACCAGTTAATCCCAGAATGCTTTGCATGCCACCATGGGGTATGTGTGTACACTGCACAGTTTCAGGGGAAGTATATATTTTTTAATCTGTATGTTTCCTAGCAAATTCCCTAGTGGAATATATAGATTATGTTATCACTGACTGGAAATCAATCAAATCATTCAAAACCATGTAGATGGCAGGTCCACATTAAGTGCCTCTATTTGTATCGGAGTATGGAAACCTTTTTATGTACATATTTGTGAAAGTAAAAAAAAAAAGTTACAATAGTGTGGCTTCTATTGAATTGCGTCCAAGTGGCTTGTCTCTGCTTTCATTCCTACGTGTTGAAGCCTTTGTATCGATCTGTTTCAATAATGTTGCCTCCAAGACGAGTAGTTGACATTAACATTAAGAGTTAAAGGGCAGTATTTCTCAAACACGACTAGTTGTGCTTTAGCTATTGCTAGGACTACAGAACATAGGTCCCTATAATAAGTGTTATATTAGTGGGTCTCGTTTGTTAACATCAGTGTGTCCCAATCAAAACTCCAACACTGTTAACCTAATGAAGCAGAGAGTCTAATGAATGTTTTGCAATTAATTATTTTAGTATATATTACATCTAAAGGATGGTTCACCTAACTATAATTTTTGGTTTTTTATTATGAACCAGTGGTATGATTTAAATGATCTGTTCTTTAAACTGCAATTTAGTACATTGTGGATGTTTTCAATTTTGATTAAATGCTAGCCATGTTCATTTGAGGAAAAAAATGGTTTTCTTGAAGAAATAATGACTAAAAATAGTTGTATTCTATTCACATTATGAAACGCAAAAAAACTTTTCAAAAACACACTACTCGCTTACCGACTGTGTTCCGTTCATACGACCCGGTCGTAGAACGAATTGGTCGGTAATTGAAGAGTTAAGGGATTCCCTGCTCGGCTGCGTTCTTCTATGTTCAGGGAAATTAGATTAGAGGGATTCCCTGTTCTGTTGCGTTTGTCTATGTTCGGGGAAATATCCACGAACATAGTAGAACGCAGCAGAGCAGGGAATCCCTCTAATTCCCACGACAGCTCGCACTTACCACCCCGCGAGAGAGCTGGTCGTAAGTGCGAGCCATCGTAAAGCAGGTAGGTCGCAAAACGAGGACCACCTGTATATCATGGAGTCTTTTACGTTAAAGGGACACTCCAAACACCTAAAACAATTTAGATTGCTGAAATGCTTTATGTGTGAAGTCTTTCGTGGTTTTTTTTTTTTTTTTTTAATTTTACAAAAAAGCTGGTTTCAATAGAAATTGTCACTTTTATAAATTAACCTTGTTACTCCCCCCTGGCTGTCAATCAGACAACTGTTTCTGCTCCTGGTTGTTTAGCTCAATGAGGCAGCAATTGCACAGAGCACCTGCCTTGTAAAGACTTCTTATTGAGCTGTATTGGGAAGTCTGTGATTGGACAGCCACAGAAAGACTGGCTGAAGAAGAAGGCTTGCAGTGGCAGCTGAGGAGATCTTCAACTTTTGCAAGCTCTTTTTAGCTATATCCCCAATTAACAAACACAATAATTAAATGTATGCATGGTTTCATTGGCAGCATATATACTAAATAGTGATTTTTATATTTTTTGTCTTTGGGCAGTATAATGTCCCTTTGATGACTGGAGTACCTTAGACCTGAAATGATGAACGACTATCAAACTTCAAACAGATTTTAAATAAAATAGTATTATTAGGAGTGGCAATAAGAGACCATACTACCATGATAGAGAGAGAAGCAGGCGGGCAGGTATTTGGGAGAGTGTGGGGAATTTGTTACTCTCACTATAAAGGGCTTCCTAAGGCCTCCTACAATATGTTTGGGTCACATATATATTATTTTGGAAATATCTGAACTACTAAGCCATAATTTGTCACCCATTACGTAAAAATGTCCCTAATTTCTTTACAGTAGACCTGCTAACTGAAATAACCTAACTTGACATACTGGTGTATCTGATTAAAGGTTGATTCAGGCAAGATTTTTAATATTGTGTTTCCTCATTTATTACAAGTATTTTTTTAACAGGAGTTACCCGTTTGTATCTGTACCTTGTTGTGAAACAGTCACTGCTTTTCTTGCAGCTCTGCAAATAACAAGCTTTTCTATGACACAAAGAATGTTTATATTTCGCTTTCACAATGTCATAATATTTTGACCCATAATTATCCCTACAACAAGGAACAGTGAACAGGTCTGAACAGTTTAAATAAAAATTTAAAAATCTACATTTTTCCATGCCATTTGACCTAAACGTAGAGTAATTAAATTTAACTTTAATTTTTTTTTTTTTAAATGAACACCCTTAAAGGGGCTCTGCGGGGTGAATTGGCAAAAAATGTTTGTTTAGTAGTAGTATTTTTATATTCGTGCCTTTTGAAAAGTTAAACAATAATATAGCTCAATGTAATCTCTAATCTGTCTGCAATGACATCTTCAATCTGGATATGACAGAGCTTTCTGATTCTCTTTATCGCTTTTTTTGTGAGAAGTACTTATTTCCCATAAAATCCTATTCTACTTGACATTTACTTTAACTAGAAAAAAAATGGTTAACGGCGAGCATACTTTTCCTACTGTTTAAAGGATTTTAAAAGTGTCCTCAGATGTGAGTAATATGAAATGAGAAAAAGGAACATTGAGAAGTATATAGCATAGTATGTCACGCACAGCAGTATGTAGAGATGCTCATAAATTATGTGGAGCAATCAGCTCTATGCTATTAAGTGATCAAGACTTGGTGGTCTGTATGGGAAGGGGGGGGGGGTTATAGAATATAAAACCGAATAGGCACCAATATAGAGTAGTATATCAGAACAATATCGATTAGGTAGTAAATGAGATTGCACTCACATATAATGGAAACACCAAATGGCTCTTATTTATTAGTGTAGAGTGATCTAATTCCACTGAATAATTTTTAGTGTATTTTTATTCATTAGTATAAATTTAATTTCCTGAAGTGATGTTAAAGGGACACAAAAGGCACTTCAGCTCATTGAAGTGGTCTGGGTGCAGTGTCCCATGTTAATCATTGCAATTTAAGAGAAACTGCAAGACTGCCTATAATGGGCACTTCCTGGTGGCTAGGCAACTTTTGGTCGCCTAACTCACGTGCATGAGGACATCCAGTGTCTGAAACGCATTGAAGTAGAGGGCCTAATGTGCTCACGGTACTCTCCATGCATGTGCATTAGCCCCCCCCCCCCCATGTTGAAGGCAGCGGAGCACCAACACAGAGCCAAAGGAGATCGGCACTGAAATCGGGTGAGTAAGCTAAGGATGTTTTAACCCTTTTCATGCAGGGGAGAGGGGCTAGAGGGAACTATAATGTAAGGCACAAGTGTGTGAGCTGACACGTTAGTGCAGGGGTAGTCAACCTTTTAATACCTACCGCCCACTTTTGAATCTTTGTTGATGGTAAAATTTCCTTACCGCCCACCAGTGCCACAGTAGCTAATTTTAAAGCACAAGTGCAATTTTTATTTTTTTCTCCTTTTTTTTTTTTTTTTTTTTTTTTTATTTTTTTTTTTAGAAATGAGGGTTTTTAAAAGAAAACAAAAAAATAAGTACTTAAATGTATCTATTTTATTTAAATTTTCTTCTCTTTTCTATTCTATTGTTTTTCTATGTGTGTCTGTGAGGTGCAGTGTGAGTTTGAATGGTGCTGTAGTTGTGTGAGGGGTGTAGTGTGCATAGGGTCTATGCTGTATGTAGGTGGGTGAGATGTGAAAATCTATCTTAATGTCTCCCTCTCCCTTTTTCTTGGCTTTTACCAGAGAGGGGCAGGAGACATAACGCTGCAAGCCCTGGTGGTCCAGTGGTGGCATGTTCACATTAGTCTGCAGCTCCTTTGGCTGCAGGCTGACTCTCCTGTCCTCCTGCGAGCACAGCGCTGAATTGGAGCGTTGACATGGTAATGTGCGGCAGCACTCCGTCCAACCTGCTCACGGGTGGATCACAGAGCCTCCCAGGCCTTTCCGTCCCTCTGCTGGAACTAAGTGCCAGCAGCCCAGTGAGGGAGATCTTTGATTTCCTCACCAGCCCGAGAGAGGAAGATCTTTCCTCACCAGCAAGGCTGTCTCTGCATGGGCCAGCAGTGGAGATATAAGGATCTCCCCTGCTGGCCTTGGTCCATGGCGAGCGAGGCCCACCGGACATTTTCTGCAGAACCCACCACGGCCCACCTGAAATCCCAAACCGCCCCCTAGTGGGTGGTAGGGACCAGGTTGACTACCCATGCGTTAGTGTGTGGGCTGCACAGTCTAGGTGTGTCACTCAAATGAGGTGTTTGACCAGAAGGGGAGCACATTGCACAGCACTTCCTTTATTGCCTGTTACTCCTTGTAGCGTAGCCAAGCAGGCGGACCGTGGTAGAGGAGCTTCTGTTTCTGAGAGCACTTGCTGTCAGACCGGATACCGCTTGACTGCAGAAATGTAATGAAATGATGCATACAAGACAATAAATATAAAAAAGTTTCAAAATGAAGGGTGGTGCTACAATCACTTTCTGTAGGTCACACAGCCACACAAATTCAGTGCATAACAGTTAATAAAGTAAAGGTGAGAGCACACTTTAAAATTCTTAATGATCTCCCGTGTGTGACAGCTGGCACGGATAAATAAAATTCCTTTTAATCTGCATCCAAACAAATCAGTTAGTCCGGGATTTACCTGTGGAGTCTTATCCTATATAAGTGAGAGAAGAACAGACAGATGTTGACCGGTAGAACCAACAAATTTATTGTCAGTTCTGCCTTCACAAAGACAACCAGAGACAACTTAACATTTGGATTAAGTTTTATGAACCTTATGGTAAAATTGCATGTGTGCAGATTTTCCATACATTAAAGGACCACCATAGGCACCCAGACCACTTCAGCTTAATGCCTGGTCCAGCTAGGATTAACCCTTTTTTCTATAAACATAGCAGTTTCAGAGAAACTGCTATGTTTATATTAGGGTTAATCCAGCCGCTAGAGGGCTTCCGTGCTTCTCACTGTGATTTTCACAGTGAGAAGACGCCAGCGTCCATAGGAAAGCATTGTGAATGCTTTCCTATGGACTGGCTGAATGCGCGCGCGGCTCCTGCCGCGCATGCGCATTCAGCCGAAGAGGAGGAGAGCTCCCCGCCCGGTGCTGGAGAAAGAGGTAAGTTTAACCCCTTCCTCTCCATCCAGCCTGGCGGGAGGGGTACCCTGAGGGTGGGGGCACCCTCAGGGCACTATAGTGCCAGGAAAACAAGTATGTTTTCCTGGCACTATAGTGGTCCTTTAAGTATTTTAAAGTGTGCTCTCACATTTACTTTATTAACTGTTCTGAAATGATGCATGTCTGAAAAGTCACCAGCATGAAAACTTTGGAAAGCTCTGGTGTAAGGAATACATCTTTGCATATAGAATACCTTTAAGAACAACAAACAAAAACAAAATGAAACAAAAAACATTTACAGGTAGTCCAATAAAGTGATTATATTTTTGCAGCAGTTGATTTTTTTTAATTTTTTTTTTAAAGGGACATTGTAGACACTGGAACTACTACAGCTAACTGCTTCTGGTGTATAGAGTCAGTCTCTGCAGGCTGAGCCGTGAAAACACTGTCTTTTCTGAGCATCCTTAATGTTTATGCTGCTACCTAATGGCACCTCTAGTGCCTGTCACCACAACAAAACTTGCAGGACTCAATGCATCTCTAGAAGAGATGCTGACTGGAGCCGAGCGGCAAATTGCCTGCATATGTGCAATAGCCTCCCATTGAATTCCCTATGTGGAAGCATTTGATTGGCTGAAATCAAAATTGAGGATCTCCGTCAACATATTCGGGGTGACCACGCTGTTTCCAGCCACTTAGGGTGGCCCGGATATTTAAATACTATAACAGCTCCAGTTTTGGGAAAACATGTTTGTATTTCTAAAGTTATAGTGTTCCTTTAAGTGCAGTTTCCACGGCAACATCATGAAGCAAACAAAAACAGACTTGGTGGGCCCACAATGGTCTTCCACTGTTCTATTCACAGATTCAAGTAAGACCTGAGCAGTGACTAACAAAATGGCAAGCTGAATTGTCCATCCTCAGAATCTCCACAGCGTTTCGTATTTTTGCTAAGCTTATATTTACAATGCTTATGTCCTCTTGTTTAAAAAAAAAAACAAACAACCTAGAAGCTATTCTTTCTGTTTGACTTGTTTTATAGAGCTAGTTTAAAAAACAGAACAAAACTCTTGAAGTTCAGCCTTATGCCCACTGGGTTTCACTTCAAATATGCTAACAATGAGGAGAGTCGGGTTTCGTTCTCCTTCCACTGGAGGAAAACTGCCTGTGTTGTGTAACTAGCACTTTTGATGCAAGAAAGTTTTTTTGCATATGTGTGATGATCATATTCACATGGCACAGCTTCAGCTATGGCAGACAGGGGCAAAAACTCAGTGCAAGTAAACCAAAGAACATCACTTTTAAAGGGACACTAGAGTAACCAAAACAACTTTAGCTGAATTAAGCAATTTTGGTGTATAGATCATGCCCCTGCAGGGTCATTGCTCAATTCACTGTCATTTAGGAGTTAAATCACTTTTTTTCTGTTTATGCCGCCCTAGCCACACCTCCCCTGGCTGTGATTGACACAGCATGCGTGAAAACAAAATGGTTTCATTTTCAGTCAGATGTAGCTTACTTTAAAAGTTTTTATCCCCTGCTCTGTAAATTGAACTTTTTTATTCTTATTCTAATAAAGGTAAATTTTTTTATTGATTTCTACGATACTTTCTGCATATTGGGACAGATCACGTTTTCTCTCACCCAAAATTACTACTTTATGTAGGGCACATCCCTCAGTCTCATTGGTGATCCAGTGGGCATTGTCAATCTTCTTTCGGTGTTGGCAATCTCCTAAATCAATTTTCTCAGTGGTCTGATGCTCGCCTTCAAGATTTCTCGAGGACTGCACCGTTCCTGTGGAACTCGCTTCCCTCCTCCATTAGATGCTCACCCAGTCTCCACTCCTTCAAAAAAATTGTTAAAAATCCACTTCTTCATAAAGCCGTATCAATAAAACTGTTAATAGCTCCCAACTGATTCTTCTTCTGCAACTGTCACTAGTCTAATGCTATCCTTACCTTTTTGTGTCATTTTACCCCACTCCCTCTAGCATGTAAGCTCATTGAGCACGGACCTCAACCCCTCTGTTCCTGTGTGTCCCACTTGTCTGGTTACAACTACATGTCTGTTTGTCCACCCATTGTAAAGGGCTGTGGAATTTGATGGCGCTATATAAATAACATCATAATATATCCCAAATCACTTGACTTGATGTGACTGTAAATCATGTTTTTTTTAAAAAAATATCAAACAACAATTAAAGTGCAACTGCCTTTAAAGGCTTGGCTCTTGAAAGAAGGACACTCCAAAACCAAGTTCTATCATCTGCCATAACTGACACCCTTTTAAAATCCAGGAAACATGATAATAACATGATCAGGTGGCATGTTTGGGAAACCTTCAAAAATTAGGCATCCAAAAGATCCTTTGATTTTTACATCCCTCTCATCTACAGGTGTTAGAAATCCTTCAAGCAAGTCTGGAGAAACGCCACAGTCTTAGTATCCTCGAAGACCAGTCCTCAGTTCTCTATGCCCTTTGCAATGTCTTGTGGCCTTTAGACCCCCTCATATCCAGGTTTTTCAAGGCAACTATGTAAATCAGACCCCCAACTAGGAACTCATTTCCACTGTGAAACCTGCCATTGGTCTTGAATACCTTGATTAAACCTCCTTTGCTCCTCTACAAGATGTCACCATTCAAATGTCTTTATTCCTGGTTGCTATTTATATGGCAAAGTGCATATCAGCACTTCAGGCCTTCTCAAGTGACAATCCCCATGCCCTAATATTTCACGATAGAGTTGTATTGAGACCCAGGCAAGACTTTCTCCCAAAATTTTTCTCTAACGTTCACCTCCTCCAGGAAGTAGTCCTATCATCCTTTTTTCCAACTCCACCCTCTCCTGCAGAGACTAAACTCCATGAATTGGATGTCAGAGACTGCATCATTCAATACCTATAAGTCAATAAGGACTTCCGAAGGTCTAAAAAGCTATTTATCCTACCCTCTGGTAAGTGCAAATTTGAAGCTGCTTCATCTGCCACCTTAAGGCATTGGATCTCAGAGGTCTATCTTCCTCTAACTCTTCCTGAAAAAACAAGGGCTCACTCCACCAGGCCCCTATCTACTTATTGGGCTGAAGTTCCTTCTGATGACATATGTAAGGCAGCCACCTGGTCTGCTCCTATGCAGTGGCGGATCTGGGG